TTCAAGAGTATTCTACAGGGCTTTTGTTCCCTTTTATCAGGCATTAATCTTCCATGAAATTTACTAAAAGTGGATAGAACCCACCCTGGCACATTAAATGCCTAATTAAAACTACAGCCTGGTTTTGTGTGAAAACAAGGTAGATTTAGTGATAAAGAAGTAATGGCGCTCTACTTTAAATTACCTTTTATTTGCATACTTGATATTCTTGAACTTGGGGCTTATTCTCAAGTTACTTCTACGTGAAATGAGAAACATGTATTCATGTATTAAAAGTCTTATGTTATATTATCTAAAAACTTGTGCAAAGTGTGCTGTTTGGTCCAGACGACTTGTTTTTGTTATCAGTTTGCATATTGGCTTAAAGTTTATTTATCCAGAGCATTAAAACAGGAAGAGACATATGTATTTGATTCTTGCCTTGCTGTTAATGATCAAGGTATTAATGTGGCAGGATAAGGCATCTTAGACCACAGTATATTACAGTTGGTGATGTGAATATTCAAATGGTATTTCCTCCATGCTTTGGTTATGGCTAGGGTTTCAGCTCTTAACCGCTGCATGACTGAAGGCTATTTTAGAGTTGATTCAGTATGTCCTGCTTTTATTATTCAGAATGCCAAATCCATCATGTGGGTACAGGTACATCCTGGAAACAGAGAGAAAATTTGGCCCTATACTTGCTGACACTTCCAGTCTGAAAATATTTCCTGTGTTCAGGTTGTGTGGAAATTCTGTTAAAGTTTACATTTAAGTTCTTGAGTCAAATGAAGGCAGTTCGCTTATGAGATACTTGAATTTTCTAAAAGAATGTCCAAAGTGCTATTCTAGGAAATGTTCACAGTGCTTCCAATTCCATGCACCTGTGGGTAAACACCAGTGGTAAAAGCGGAACTCTACAATAAAGTGACTAGAACCCATCCTGCTCACAAAACAAAATGGCAGTGACAGCAGTGCTACTGCACATTTGAGCCTGGTTTACAATCACATCTTGTCTTGGTCACCACTGTATAAATCATTTGAGCTGTTTGACTTGGTGTTTAGAATTCTTCATAGTTTTTTCTCTTTCCTGGTAAGGTGATTCTGAGGAAAATAATAATTTCTAGATGTAGAGACAAGGCACACTCCTTCCAAATATAGTATTCTAAGGTAGTTGCCTCAGAATATGTATTTGAACTGAAAGAATAGTTGGGTTTGGAATTCTTACAGAAATGTCAAGGCCAATATTCTCTGAGAAAAATTAAGAGGGTGATGAGAGTTGTGGAGCATGTTTCATTCTGAGCAAAACATTGCTGAACAGGGAGAGCCTAAAGGTGGAAATTGTAACTTGATCAGCTCTGGTGTTTGGTGTCAGATCAAACAAGCAGACCAATTGAGTAGCGTCCATCATATTGTAAACTATCTACAGAGCTTTGGCACTGGGGCAGTATAGAAGTGAAATAATTCATTAATATTATTTCATAATGAAATGTTTGATTATTATAATTTATAATAGTAAATAATTATATTACATTTAGTTTAAATATTAAATTATAATATATACATAATTACATATATTGTGTATATACATATAATATATACACCATCATCATCAATTCTCTGGCCCATAAGCAGCAGAAGCCACCCTCACAGGGGAAGATAACGCCATTTGTTTGAGAAGGGGAGACTGATTTAGTTTAGAATCCACTTCTTAGCATGAACTATGCTTCCCTGATTTCTAACTTCTGTTAGAGAGGTATCTATTTTTAATGACTTTTACAACTTACTCTTTCTTTATTCCTTTCATATCACAAAGCCAGCCTAGTTAGCTAGCTTTAATATAATATAGTCTGTAGTTAGAAGTAGATCTTGTATTGATCTACTTGGAAGGAGAATTGGGGAAGAAGACCAGCTGTTTGTTTAATCCTTTCAGTAACAGACTGCATGGCCTGATTTTGAAGAAGCTGTAAACTTAGATATCTTAGTCTTCTGAAAGAAATTCATATGGAGAATTGGAAGAAGGCCCCAGACTCACATTTAAGTCATTAGACCTAATTCTCTAGACCTCATATTGTACATGAATATTCTGGACTTCTGAATATCCAATAAAGCCAATATTAAAACCACAGTTAATACTTAAAATACAGGGAAAATAAAAAGGTTTTGGCCTGGTGCCAAAATGAATAAAGCTTTGGCACCCGGCACACCTCTCTGGGGAGCTGGTTCCAGAGCTGGAGCACTACCACAGAAAAGGCCCTTCTCCAGGTAGCCACTCTTCTGATCTCCATCAAAGAGGACCCCTGAAGAAGGACCTCAGACATAGATTTAGGGGAAAGGCAGGTATATAAGGGCACACTCCTTCAGATATCCAGGCCCTAAACCATTTAGGGTTGAATATGTCATCATTAGCACCATTAAATTAAACTTCAGTTGATAGCCGACCAATTAAGATCTTCTGTAGTTTCCACATAGCCTGAAGTGCTTGATCCTGCTTATCTTGGAAGCTAAGCAGGGTCAGGCCTAGTTGAAATTCAGATGGGTGACTTAAAATGGTGTGAACTGTCCAGAGACAGCTTTGATGTCTGCTCAGATAACAGCTAGGAAAAAAGAACTGTGCCTTGAAGTTTGTGATTGGCACTTGTGTTGATAACACAGAATGCTATTGCTTGACATGTCTGATTTGGGAAAATGACAATAATAGGAGCTACAGCACTTGGGATGACAGTGAAATCACCTTCAAGATTTACCTGTGGAAAATATGTCAAGCAGGTATCTGGTATGATACTGTACCTGTTGGATAAGCTATCTATATGAAGGGATTTGCACAGATTTTCCCAGAACAAAGTAAGCATCAAACCTGGGATAGGAAGTTAACTAATTTCTGATTGGTCCTGTCACAATGTGACAAGAGCAAGCATATTCCAGACACTGGACTTAAAGGTCCTTTCTGGTCTTGTTTTATTTTTGCTCTCAGTTTCTTCTGTACTTCTGGTCTTTGTTGGAACATCAGACCCAGGGATCTAGGTAGCTATGGACCACTTCAGCTTTTACAGCTACTTTTCTGAATATGAGTCACAATTTTATTTCTTAAGTTGGAGTGTAATAATACTTCCACCTTTTTACACTTAAGCAGTGTGCAGGACAAAGTCAAGTGGAGGTTAGATTATTTAGCCTGCCTTTTTTGCTTTTAAAATACAAGTACTATGTTTTAACCAGACAGCAAAGATTGCAGTCCAGTTAGCTACTTTTCTTGTTATATTCGTAGTTCTGGCTTTGCCAACAGCATTCCTTTAGTTAATCTTGAGTTTATGTTACACTTTCTCTCACTGCTGATAATTTAACCACATAAAAGCTTCCCAGTTATGTCCATGTAATCACCAAGATGACTATCAGTTTTCTTTAATTTTCTTAAATGCTAATATGCTTCAGAAAAATTCTAAGTGTGTGGTAGTGATGTTTTGTTTGGGTTTGGCTTGGTTGCCCACCAAGCTCCAACACAATCTAGATTTTGAAGCTAAGCTGAACCATTTTAACACTGTTCTGGTCAACACACAGCTTGAGGCCCCTGGCTGATAGATACAGAAATGAAGAGAGGGTCAGTCAGCTCTGTCTTCTTATCTGCCTGTACAGCTTCATTGATAACTGGCATGCCGTTGTTGGGGTTAGATGAGAGAAAGGAAGTCTAAACTGAATCCTACCATGATTGAAATTACAAGCTTTATGTCATAACTCAGAAACATACAGGCATGCATACAAGCATACTGGCTCACAACAGTATTGATTAACTGAGTGGAATCTAAGGGCATGTTTACAGTGGCAATTGATTCTAATTGCTCTCTGTTGGCCTGAAGATCTTGTCTGCAACTGCTAGTTGTTCACATAGATGCTCCATTGAAACTGTGGATGGAGGCATACTTCCTTCCCATTTTGGTTTTATTTCCTAATCTACATATCCTGAGTACAGCACCTGAGCAGAAAGCACACAAAGTACTAACTATTTTGAGAAAGTGGCTTTTATCCTTTAAGTAGCTCATAGATGGTCTAACAATCTGCAGTGTTATTTGGACTTTCATAGCTTGAACATACAAGGACTATTCAAATAAGGCAAACGTGACATTTTCAAAATGGAATAGTTTAGGTGCACAGCATTTTTTTTCTTCGATCACTGTGGAAGTACATGTCTGTTTGATATATATTATGTCATGATAGGTTCACTTACTGACCTGGTTCACATGTCACATTGTGCAGTTCCTTAGTTGTTTAGCCCAGGAGACATGGAATGCATGAGTCACGAGAGTGCTAGTTCAGATTCTAATGAACAACCTAATGACCTCATTCCTGGGTGGTTTTGTGCCATCAGACCCAGAGATTCTGGGTTGTTTGTGGGTCAGACAACTCAAGTTTAACAACGTACTATGGGCAGTGGCTTTGAAGATAAACAGGAAATAGTTATAAAACACTGAACAGATTAAATCTGAATAAATGGTACTGTGCCAGGACAGTTAGTCTTGCAAGTTGTTTTTCACCTTTTCTCTTATCTTGTACTTAAACTTTCAGCACTGATAGTTAGAAAGGCTTGTCTATCATCTTTGAGAATTTTAATTCTAAAAGGTCTTTGAAAAGCACGTTGAATATCAACAGTATACATTGTACAACAACAGAGACTTAAATAATATAGACCTGATTTACATGATCACTGCAGCTTGAACTACAGTAGTCACAGTGGCTAATTTAAGCTGCAGCATGTACCAGACACATTTGCCTAATTAATCACCTGAGCACAGCTTGTCATATTGTCCATACCCAGGCATGGTCTGTTGGGTTGAAGAAGTAGAACATTATATATTGTGTTGAAGAACATTGGTACAATTGTCAATGACACGACTTCAGGAAATCAAAGTATACTGTAGTTGTCCAAACCTATCATTTAAAAATGCCTTCTTAGCAGTTAAATTGTAGTGAAGGCCTTATTATTGTTTCTTTTCTACAAATCTAGTTTTATATTGTGTGTGTTCTTGCAGAGGTGAATCAGGTGCTGGAAAAACAGAGAACACCAAGAAAGTTATTCAATATCTCGCACATGTTGCTTCCTCTCACAAAGGAAGAAAGGACCACAATATTCCTGTAAGTTTTTACCCAGCATTTCATCCTTAATTATCTGTATTGTAAATAATACTAATACTCTTAAGTAGCTAGATTCTTCTTTGTAAGAACTATGTGTTAAAGAGTAAGTCACATAAAACCCCAAAAATAGTTCGTAAACACTGCTATTTATCTCATTGCCTATTGCTCAAGAAAGGATGTTTTCTGGCTTGAAAGGGATACTTTGGGGAACTGTGACCAATCATCACATGGCGGTGCTATATTAGAAGCTACAAATAATCAGTGGCATGTTGCAATGTGAGATAATATGTTTCTGTGAAATTCAGTGTGCTCTTGTACATTTGGACAGATTGGCCATAACATTGTACAATATGCAGTAGGCTTAACATTTTTGAATGACATTTTCTTAATAGGGCAAATGCCTCACTTCTTTGTACCCTTGGATACTAATATATATATATATATATTGATGCTCTTTCTTGTTAACATAAAGATTCTTGTGATGAATATTTGAGGCAGAAGCAAGTTTCAGGGATCTGTGTCAGGTGTCACAGGTTACTACTTTAGTATAGTGACTTCCAATTATCTGACTCTAATTGTATAGGTTTTTAAATCTTGAGTTAAGGACACAACTTTATACATGTTTAGATTAAAATGTTATAAAACTTCAAGCATTCCCCAGCTAGCCATATTGCTTAGGGAATGCTGGGAGTTGTAAGTCAACTTTTATGTCTAAACATGCATAGTATTGTGCCTCAAGGCATTTATCCTCCTCCGTAATTTGCTTTATCACTTTTATGCATACAAAAACAAGTTTTCTGGGTTCTTTTGCAGTATTGTATACACCAAAACTGATATTAATGTAGAGGCTAAGATCTCAAAGGCCATAATTTTAGTTTCATGGAGCAAAATCTAGTGTAATAGGAGACACAGGTGAGAGGGCACCTGATCAACACTTGACTCTTGTAATTAACAATATCTGATTTCACCCCTTAATATCTTTTTATATGGATGAATGGCTGAGTATAAATTAGTGGCTAATGCTCAAGGGCCAAAATGGTACTGAATTTGGAAGAGTATTGCATTTGGAGACAAAACCCAGCTATTCTTGTTGGACTTTACAAATGAGGCCTCATGGTTTGTCTGCACATCTGCTTTGTACCTGTATATACAGACAGACGGATGGATAGATGTGTGCATGAACAGAAGCACAGTTTCTTCAGCTCTCATACATGGCTGATGCAGTATGTGCACTCTGCCTGCCACACTTGCTGGGGAAGTTGGAATTAAAGCATCATTCACTATCTTTGCAGGACTCAGTCAATAACCTGGTGCTCTCCAGATGACTGAATATCTATCAGCTCTAGCTAGAAGGCCAGTAATTAAAGATGGTAGAGAGGTGTTCCAAAGCATCTGGAGAGTGTCAGGTGAAGACTGCTTTAAGGTGTGTACCTGCTAAGCCCGCTTGTAATTCTTCAGCTTTATAAATGAATAAAATGCGTGCCTAAGCTGCTTGTGGAGAAGAGCATAGAGCTGTACCACTTGGAAGTCCTACTAATGCACTCAGCTGTTGACTTCTAAAACGTCTGTTAGCTATTGTGCACAATTAGCAAAAATGCAAACTACTTCTGTAAACATCATATGAGTCATAATAAAACTAGTCCTGGCACTGCCATCAATTGATTTGTCATGTTTTGGGATTTGCTGGCTATAATGTATGTTCACAGTAAAAGCGAAACTGGACATATAATTACATCTCAGAAGTTGAAGGTTTAATTTACACTTTGTCTTTGTTGCTTTCTGCAAGTTGTGATACAATGTGGGTTTACTTGAATAGCTTTAATTTAAAATCTCTTGTATACATAATCAAATTTTGATTGATGGCATTATGGACAAAAAGGAATTGTGCATCCTCTGACATCTTGGTTTATACAGTTTTCTTCTTTAAAACATGGGTGGCACAGTACCCATTTGTGGACTTTGAAAAAAAAAAGCAAGGTATTTGTGGTTTCTGTGCAGCAAACCGCACAGGCGCAGAGCCTATTGTTCGGAAGATTTCATAGCTGGGAGCATTTTGGTGGGAACCTCTTCCACATCCCACAATTTGGTATATATGGGAGTGTATGAAAAGTCAAAGAGCATCCTTATAAACATAGAGAGTTCAACATGTTATTGTTACAGTTTCCTTTGCGAGTTAAGGATTTGATTTCATGTGCAAAACTTGAAGTATTCTGTCTTCCCATAAAAGAAATTGGAGCAACTCCCATGCACCAAAATCTGAGCATCTTAAAGGTCCTGAATGTGCATCAATATTCTGATCCTTGCGTAGGCATCCACATAAGAGAGGCAAGACTTCTATGTGGTCAAGACAGCAAATATGCTAGTTGACTAGGGGTTTTTTTTTACAGATCTTATTTGATTTTTAAAAATTTATTACATTTCTATATTATCCAATTGCTGAAGCTTTCTGGGGGTTGGCTTTTAGAAAAATACTACATACTTATGGTATAAAAGAACATTGTTTTAAAATACTAGTCCAAATCATTTCTGAAATTCCTGTATCAGAACTTTAAACACTGTGGAGCCTAATTCATGGGATATCAACAAATACTACTTTTAGAAAATCAACTGTCTTTTGGACTAGAAGGTTAACATTTAATCCTGTCTGATTTAAATTTAGCTATTGATATGAATAGGGTGGTTGAACAAAAGGGTAGCATCTATGAGGGTGAACTCTTGTAAAGGGGTAAGGGGTGGGGGAAGGTCAGATTTGCTAACATGTGAATTTGTTTGTTTGCAACAAACAGCCCGAGTCACCTAAGCCAGTGAAACATCAGGCAAGTGTCTTTTTATGCTTCTAAACATTGTATAGGATTAATCTTGCTCTCTTGTTTTACATTTTTAGGAGACTACCTGTCAACATGCAATATAAGTATACAAGTAATTTCTGGTACAGGCATGCAGCTAATAGTAAAATTCATTATTACATATGTACAGAAACACAAAGCTATAACTGCTCTTTAGTGAGCATTTCTCTCCAGTATAACTGACAAAAGACTCCAAGCCTACTGGGTGTTCTTGTCCAATATTTTATGTCATATATGCTGGAATATGTACAGATATCCTGTAGCCCTGGGTAAAGCTGAACTTCAGGTTCATTAAGTTTAGGCACAATAAAGTATGACTTCATTGGCTTTTATACAGAATGGGAAGGTTGGGAGATAGACAGGGCTGATGTGTGAATTTCAGGGGAGATTGACCTTGATTCTCCTTTCCTTCCCTTCTCACCCAACTCCATGTTTTTAATCACCTGATTAAACAAACATCTGTGACTTGCTGTATAATGTCTTGAACTGATGTAGTTTAATAAAATCATTCAGGTTGAAATGGAAAGAAAACCTGTGAGAATGAGTAAGAGTTTCATCCGTGGATTATGGGATGCAGTCTCATCCTAAATCCCACTGATGGAACGATCTGTGTATGCTGGCAACCTGTTTGGTTCAGTGTGCAAGTTCAAGCTATTTCAACTGTACTAGCAGGGAAGGGCCAATACTCCTGATTTCATATTAAAATACAAGGGAGCAGCAACAGACTATCTTAGTTTGTTCCTTCATAACGTTTGTGGAGCAGCATCAGTCAGTGACTGTTGGTTACTTATCCATAGGGTAAGGTGACTGGAAAAGAATTCTAGGGTGTAGAGCAAAATTGGTGGTCTCCTTGGCAATGTAGCAAGATGGACATTCTTGCTACCTCAAGGGTGCTGTTATGTTTATGAAGGTTTTTTTTGTAAAGTTGATGATGAGTTGGTGGTTATAACTTAAGCTTTCTAAAACACTGACAAGTGAATTCTCCTATAAAACCCAATAAAATATTTGAAATTTTTAGCCCCGGTGTGTTTCTGTAGCACTCATAAGTTCATAACCATTAACATTCTGTTTCATTGTCATTTTGAACTGCAGAGTGGATCCCTGTTGTATGTGAGTAGCATGTAGCTCTTCTAGCTTCTCAGATTGCTCTCACAATTAGCCAAATCATGGAGATGCTGAGAGCAATGCCTCTCTTCTTTATCTATCACTACACTGCTGATTTGCATGAATATATTGCATGTTATCACACCTGCAAATCTTGCCTTTGATATTAAGTTTTGTTTTTAAAAAATACACAGTGGGATGATCTTCAGTTACTCCAGTTTATGGGAATGGATGCATGGCACCATGCCAGTCAAGGATGGGACCAGGCATCATAAGCCCTATAAACAGGAATTAAATTTTATGCATATTTTTGTGACTTTATAGGTAAATGATTTCACAGTCTTTGTAACATTTATTAGAGTACAAATTAGAGATTACAACTGTCACATTGCTAATATGCTTTTGGAATCAATTCCTTTTTCTTTTCAGTGAACTGAAATTTGATTTTGCTTGTTGGAAACAACTGAAGGCAGGCTATGTTAGTGTTTTTGGACTGTAATGGTAGATAGCATCAGCATTCCATGGAAGGATTTTTCTTGGCATAATTCAGATCTTCAGAACACTCCAGACTAAGATCAGGCCTATTCCTGACTAGCTGTGTTCCTGCAGGCTTTCTACATTCAACTACAGAACCTTTTACTACTGTTAATATTGTTTATACAACACTTTTGACTAATTCTGCTTGTCAGACCAGACTTTCCTATGTGAGCTTACATCTTGTTTTCATATGACTGGGATATCTGTTTTTCCTGTTAACTTGGCTTCTAGATTGCATTTTAGCTTTTCTGCCTTTTTGGCGGAAAGCATTCTTTACAGGATTAATCCCAGAAAAGCATAGGTTGCAAGAACATGCTACAAAAAGTTAAGATGCAATAGATAGCAATGTGTGTTTTCATCTTTGAAAGGTTTTGGATGAAGTTATAATACTTGGAGTCCTCATTGAACATCAATATTCATTTCTGTGGCTTAAATCCAACATTTTACAAGTGGATGTAAACTCATACAATGAGACTTTGTCTTGCTCTGCTCTCTACTGTGGCTCCCCACATCCACAAATGTTCTTGAAGGTTTTCCTTAACCCTCTGAAACAGATTTGGGTGGGTGGGTGGGGGTCAACAGGGTCAAGGAGAAGGTTGTTCTTCTAGTTGCTTTCTTTTTGCTGTTCACTGACAGAGGTGTTGGCAACAACGCTTTGAATTCACAGGAAATGATTTGACAGATGGAATGATACAGGACACAATTCAGAGAACGTTAAGCACAGTTTAATCTCATTGATTTCAGAAGGAAGGGTAGGCATTTGCTTAAATCTCTCCCATTGGAATCAGTGAAACTGAAAATGGGACTAAGTGGTTGGATAAGCAGAAAATAAGAGACTGAGCAAGCAATTGATTCAGACAATGTAATTTTAAGAAGGTTCTGCACAGGCAGTATATATAGTAGACAAATCTCTTTAAGTTATTTGTATTTATGGTCAAAGAAACCTTACCTAATTGTAAAATAGTGGTTGGTGTTTAGATGCTGTTGAGTCAATACTTGTGATTGGAAACCCTACTGAGAGGCAGCATTGCTAAGGTGCATATGTATTTCATTAAGATTGTCCAGAAAAAGCAGACCTTTGGTAGTGCTAATCCTAATTTTGCAGTTATATTCCAGATATAAATTCCCTTTTTCCTATTACCCCAGTCTGTCCAGCCATGGTAACAGTATCACATCTTCCATCAGTTAGTCTCTTCATTTAATACATATGTGTCAACATGGGCATTAGTGGGATAATAAATTTCCAAAGATATTCTGGTCTGGCAATGCAGATGCTTCTTTAACGTTTCAGAGGCTTTAGAATAAACTCATAAAATTGGCTTTGTGTCCTGTGTGCATTCTTATGATCATGTTTTTACCTTAAGTTTGAGAACAGTTGGAGCTAAGACAAGGAGTAAACTTAAATATGAAACCATGATGGTCAGTCTAGCTCAAATAAATTCTGCATGATCAAACTCTATTTTATTAGGCATGAAATTACATCTTTTGTAAAGTGTGTAGCTCATTGGCAAATGGCTACATGAGAATGCTAAATGCCCAATTTGCATAGATAGCAATAACTACCACTACCACCTTTATCTCTGCCCACCTCCTGTGATAGAAGGTTATCTCTTAACCTTCTATCACAGTGGAAAGGTGGGGTGTAAAAATTCAGGCATTTTGTCTGCAGGGGGGCAGAGTTCATTGACTCATGCTTTATTCATTAGTCCTCACTTGAATTTGATCTTCATGTGTTCAGTGTAACATCATGCTTTTCAACTGTTTTTATTGTTAGGGTAAGTCATTCTCAGCTTTTAACAGTTTTAAGACTATTTTGGAGATGCTGTATTGAGAAAAGAACTGGTCCAGGCAGCTGAAAACCAACTGCACCTGGGAAAGTATGCTGCTCTTAGTCCGGGATTGTGTAACTTTGTATTTCTGTCTGTGTATGTTTTAGGGTGAACTGGAGCGTCAGCTTCTACAAGCCAATCCAATTCTGGAATCCTTTGGGAATGCAAAGACTGTGAAAAATGATAATTCCTCCCGTTTTGTAAGTTGTTGTTTGTTTTTTTAACAGCTCTCAAGAAAATGCTTTTAATGCTTGCTTGTAGACAGACTCAATTAAGAAATGTACTGAAATCAAGCCCATTTTTGAAACAGCCTTCTTCTCCCCCCCTGCCCCCCCGGTACAATTTATGCATTAAAAACCAATAGGATTCCCAAAATCTATTCATTAAAGTGTACAAAATTTCACGAACATGTCTGGGTGTATTCCAGCCCTCATATAAGTTCATCTAGGTTCCGGTTACACAGCCAGATGTGGTTTCCCTGTTTGGTGATGCACACATGTCCTGATAGACAGGGACATGCTTGAATTTTCTAGTTACATAGGATACATGGGTGAATGTATGAGCTTAGTTTAAATTTTGTAGCAGTGGATAATTCATGTCACAAGGGTGAAATTCGGAATAAAATAAATGATTTGTTCTGATACCTCAGTCCCTACACAAAGAGATAACTGTGGCTATCTCACAGAACTGGAGAGAAAGTGTTCTCAGGTGCCTAGAAAAGCTTTTACTGGAGCCAATCAGTGTTTCAGAAAAAAAATTTTCCTCAAGGGCCTCATGTTAACCTTTTCCAACAGAGGAAGCATCAGTTAGATTTCCTTTGTTGTTCCCCAAATGTAAGTGACTCTGTGTAAGCTATTTCTTTCTGAAACTCATTGCACCCAATAAAAGTTTTTCTAGGTAGATGAGAATATTCTTTTCCTGCTTTGTGACATTTTTAAGGGCTTTTCTTTTTGCTGTTTCCAAGAATATTTAGCCACGTACTGTACTTGTAGATTGGAATGCTAGCTATGTAACCTTTCACCATTTCCTAAATAACACACTTGTGTGCGCACACATGCATGCGTGTGCACATGTGTACTGTACACCAGTAGTTAACATTCCAAAGTGGCAGAGCATGAGATTCCCCGGTTCTTTCCTTAGCTATGAACTCACAGTAAGGTCCTCAAGGCATTGTGTAGTCCAGTTTGGATCAGGCATTAAAACCTAATACAAGTTTAAGAAAACAGCCATCTACCTGTTGTAGTACACTGACTGATGCCAGTAGTATCAGTATGAATACATAAAATAAAACCAGTATCTGAGAGAATTGATGTATTTTGGGTTTGAAATGGACACGGCCTGGGGAGCATTAGGGAGGGAATGGACTGGAAGCATGCTTCTTATTTGCATTAGAGGTTTGAAGTTGAGCCAGAACTGAACAGCAAGAAAATAATGGTTTGACTTCCTGATTTAGATATACATTTGAATTGGGATTAAAATGACTAGGTGTGGGCTATGAATAATATGTGTCCCCCTTCCTCTATTCAGATGGCATTTAAGAGGTTGGGTATATGGTCAGTTTGAGTGCCTTTACACAAAGGTATGGGCAAACCATCTCCGTTGAGAGTGCATTACAGTATTTCCTATGCTCTGAAGTATGCTTCTGAATTTAAAAAATGAGGAAAAATGCTAATGTACCTTTATATATTCGATAAGACTGCATTAAGAATGCAGAACGTGTAAAGAATGTGTTAAGCAGGATTTGATGAGGAAGGCATTTCCTTGTGATGTGATTGGATTAGATCAAGATTGGGGAACATGTGGTGTTCTTGATGTTGCGAGATTGCACCTCCCATCAGCAATAGCCAACATAGCCAGTGGTAAGGGATGATGGGAGTTGCAGTCCTTTAACATATTGTGGCACGCATTCCCCATTCCTGGAGTAGATCTACAAAGCCTCACTTTGAAAATGTGCAGGTATTTTAGCATGGTAAATATTTCAGCCATGATTTTCAAACCTTACTGTGGCCCATCAGCTGAAGCCCTAGTTACAACCTCACAGGTTTCACTGCTTAGTGTTTTGTTTTGTCCACTTATGAAAGTCATAAAGAGTACATGAATGCAGTAAAGTTCTTTTCTGTGAAAGACTTCAGCATCTGTTTTCTATTAATTTTTTTCTTTAAAGTCAGCACTGATATTGTGAACATAATCATTCCAATGGCTTTGGTACTATTTTTGCAATGGTTAGTTAATGCATTCCAGATGGTGGTTTTTTGCATATAAAAAATAATCTCCAGTAGTGAGGATTTCAAAGTTCTGTCTGATAAGTGAGAGATCCTCCCCAGTAGGAGAAATGCATTATTTCCGTCCTAAATCACTGCCTGAGCTTGATAATGGACTGGATGAGGGCCAATAAATTGAAGCTCAGTCTGGATAAGATGGAGGTGCTGTTGCAGGATGGTCCATCTGCCCAGAGGGTAGGCCTTCAGTCTGTCCTGGATGGGGTTGCACTTCCCCTGAAGGACAGGATTCATAGCTTGGGATGCTCCTGCACCCAAAACTATCTCTTGAGTCTCAGGTAGACTCAGTGGCCAGCAGTGCCAGCTGTGCTTAATTTACCCGTTGCAGCCTTACCTGGCAGAGCCTAGCCACTGGCGCACATGCTTTGGTAACCTCTCAACTTTATTATTGTAATGTGCTCTATGTGGGGGTGCCCTTGAAGACAGTCCTTATGCCCCAGTACTGTGTCATTTGCATCGGTTCCCATTTGAGCTCTAGGCCCAAATTAAGGTGCTTGTGCTAACATATAAAGCACTAAATGGCTTGGGACCAGGATAACTGAGGGAATGCCTGCTCCTATATGTATTGACCAGATCCCTAAAACTGGGTGGGGAGGACTTTCTGAAAGAGCCATCCTCCACGGAGGTAAGGAAGATGGCCAGTAGAAGTGGCCCCTTCTCAGTGGTTGTGCGCCATCCATTGGATGGCCAGCCTTCCGGGAGCAGTTTGTTGGCGCCATCATTACAATCTTTTCAGTCACTAGGCGAATGATCCTATTCTCTAGGCATTTTAATAATTGATTTTATGTTGCTAAGTTTTAATGGTACTGTTTTATATTGCTCTTTAGTTTAACATGCTATTTCAGTCTAGTTATATCTGACCCCTCAGCAACATGTTGTGTATTGTTATTGTTGTATGCTTATGTTTTATTATGAGATGTTGTTTTTATTGGTATTTTTGTAATCTTCCTAGAGAGTCCTTGGGACTAATTTAGTTGTGGAATATAAGTTGACTAAATAATAATTAAATAAATGAATAATTTTCACCTGATGTGAAATGTAGCAGTAATATACTAAAAATGCATCATGATATTGACTTAATAGATATAGCTGCAGTTCAGGGAAACTTCTACTAAATTTTGAGTGTAATGTAACGCTATTCTGTATAATTCTCAATTTAATAAAATTTAAATGCAATGATATGTAAAATATAAACCTGCCCATGATATAAGATCATCAAGGAAAGGACCTTCTCCTTAGTCTGTTATAGATTTTGACCATGAAAAACACATTTTTCTCTGTGTTAATGTTTCCTTTTCGGAGTACCACCCTAGAAGAAGAATGCTTGGCACTAACATTGTACTCTTTCTGACACCAAGCTAAACTTTTTAGGTGTTCATGTATCTTCACAGGAATCTATTTAGTTGTCAGAAATAGTTTTTATGCTTCTCATGGTTACTGTGTTATAAAGAATTTTTTCCTAGGAACTTCAGCATGTGTGTGTTGTGTGTTTAATCTTTCTCTCTGAAATCCATTCTTACCTATGTCTTCTCTACAGGGCAAGTTCATCAGAATAAATTTTGATGTTACTGGTTATATTGTTGGGGCCAACATTGAAACATGTATCCTGTTTTCCAAGCTACACTTTTGATAAAAACACTGATAACAATCTGATATAATCTGTATTGATGACTTGGTGAAAATATAATGGATAGTTATTACTGGAAGGCAGTGTTGGGGAACTTAAGACTCATCTAGAACTGGCATTTATTAATTTGCAGAACAAATGTCAGAAATGAGCAAGCTTTAATATTAATATGTATACTTTTTCAATTTGCAATGTGTTTAATTTTAAAATACACTATGCCGAACATGTTAACAGCTATCCGAGCACTGAATGCTGTACAGTAAATAAAGTTTCATGATGACCATAGAGTTCTGTGGTCATGTTCTATTGGCATACAGTGAAGTTGTATTTGCATGTTTACCTACTGAGAAAATTATTCATGGGCTGGATGACCGTATTTATGAATATTCAGACCATGATTGCAGATTGCCATGCCACCTGAACCCAAGTAGCAAGGGTTATACAGAGCATAAACAACTCCTGTGCATCCCTAGAATAGACATCAGATTACATGAGGATAGTTTAACCTTTTGCACTGCTTGCTCTGGCTAGGTTCAAATTTATGGTTTGTGGTTTAGATATTTATATTGGCTGCTCACAGTGCTGCAGTCCATTGTTGCTTATGTAAGGAGACTTGATTGTGTGAACTAGCCCAAAAAATTAATACTAGTTATTAAAGTCACATCACCACTTCTTCCTGTAGAAATCTTTTTAGCCATGATATCTAACATCTTGAAAACCTGGCACATCCTCTTTGGTAGGATCTAAACTTAGTCATGCATGAGGTAGACAATTATCAATGGGATAAGCTAAATCCTTATGCTCTCGGTGCGTCTACTATAAACATGACTATGGGTCCAGGTCTCACTGTTCTTGCACAACTTATTTTTGTCCTCTTTGTGGGCTTTTGAGTTCTAAATCTGACGAAGTCAGGCCAGATGACATCAGCAGTATGAGCTTTCACCATCATTGCCATATTTTCTCCATGCTGGAACGAGTTTCATTTTTGCTCTCAGAATGGAGAAAGGGAGTTGGCTAACACCTTGCATCAGTGGACTCTTGGGTTCATGTGGTTCCCAGTGCTTCCTGGGAGGGTGTGTGCAGTTGCTGAGTCAGTCTGCTCTGCACCTGTGCTGTTACCTTAGATTGGAAATAGGTTGGGGTTCTGCTACTGGTACATGGCAACAGCAAAATCCCTGCTGTTGCCTCCTATCTCAGAGCAGTGAAAACAGCAGAGGTTGGCTTCCGAGGGCATTCCTCCTTGGGGTGGGGATTGGAACTTAAGCTCTGTCTCCTAGGGAGCCACAGAAGGCTGCACAGATTGGATTGGGCTGCCCCATAGCCGTATTCGGTTTGCAGGTTGCAAGTTCTGAGCTTCTGCCCTAGGCTTTCTAAAGAATGCTCAATATCTTGCCGCTGTGTTTCTGTATCATTCAGGAAACTAGCATGTGCAGTTCAATGTAGTTTCCCTAAAATCCTGACACTTTCCTACCCTACTACATTAGTGTGGCTAGTTTATTATACTGCCTTGTTGCACATGGGTCGCTAAAATGGGAAGGCTTTTTACTGTTCCCGTGGATGCTGTCACATGGGACATGGCTGTATCCTTTGCTTTACATTTTGCCCCTGCTTCCCCCCTCCATTCCTGTTCCTTATATTTTCCACAATACACTTCTTTCAGTCCTATATATTTCTCTTAATATTTTCTTCTGAAAAAGGACTCCTCTTTGCCCTCTGGTGGCTTTTTCTCATTCCCATTCAATATATTCTTCCTCTTCTTAATTTTTTTCCCACTCCCCTTATTTCTTCCTCACCTCCACTGCATTTCTTCCTCATCATTTTGTATATCAAAGAGCATTACTGTTAGGGCTTAGCTAATGATATATGTAGTGGCAACTATAAGCATTGCACCTATGAGCATACGCAGAATGTCTTTACTTCTCATCAAATAATTGCAATCTGTATTGGAAGATGGTCTACAGAAGGGGAGGGTCTTGTTACATTAGATCCGCCCTCTATTGTCCATACTGCCTGGAATTGATGGAAGTTGGAGTTGAATGTTGAGTAAGCTTCAGGTTCCCCTACCACTGACTTGTGGCTTTCAGCTGAGCAGTGGCAGTTCTCAATTTATGCATTACCTTTTAAAGAGGGGGAGTTCAGAATGCATTAGTGGGATGAGCATCTTTCCTTTTACTGATACATAACCCTTCAGAACTGGCTATAAACTATTGCACTTCCATTCCATTCTATTCCATTCATAGGAGAGTCTCCTGCTGTGCCTATGTGCTTGTGTCTATATCCACCAATATGCCCCAATCCAGAAACAAGTATCCTGCACTTATTTTAGAAGTGCAGAGACCCTGCTGTGAAAGCAGTGGTCTTGCTAATACAATGGAACCAATAGAGGTAGATCAGCCCCACTGGATGCTGCCCATAGATTTTTTTTAGGACCTAAGGAAATAATTTAGGACAAACTGGTTTCGAAATATGTGGCCTGTGGGAAAAGTAACTTGGACTGTTATATTGGGGGTGGGGGAATGAATCTTTAACAATTACAGAGCTGCTAATTTGGCAGGCTATGTTCCATCCTTGGAATTTCTGTTACAATTTTGACAGACACAATAAAAACTATTTTTTAGAAGGAAGGGAAATATTAAGGCAGGCACAGCAGTTCATTACCATTTCAGGAGCTTTTTTTCTTTTTTAATAAGAAGATGCACATGTGCTCATTAAAATCCTTAACTGCACTGGCTCAGACTTACTTGAAAAGTCACGTGCAGTTCGTCAAGCCAAAGATGAGCGGACATTTCATATCTTCTATCAGCTGCTTGCTGGGGCAGGTGAACACTTGAAAGGTAAGTCAAGATGTAGTGGTATCTTGCAATTCATTAGTTATAGCATCTGAACAGAGGTAGAATTAATGTCCTGGTTTAGTGCTCTTCTTTCTTTATAAATGAAAAAGATGGCTTTGTTTTTTCTGGGACTCTCTAGGATATCTTAGGTGAGTTGATTTCTAATTAAAAATAATTAGTGTTGAAGCTGGGTAAAGTTAACGTTCTGTATTTGGAATGCTGCAGTGTTGCAGGCCTCACTGAAATCAGTGTGATCAATATTTGCAGAGCCAACAGCAAATTGCAGTCTAAAGCTTTATACAGTTTGAGTCCTTAGCTGGACAGAAACACTTCAGCTTCAAGCAGGACATTTGAAGGAGTGCTGGCAGTGACTGCCAAACCCTCACTAGAGAGAGGAGCACTCAAGCTGGGAAGAATGCCAAGCCTCTGTTGGATAGGCCAAAGCAGCATGGTGTTTATACTTCCAAACAAGCATCAATTACTTTTAAGAAAAGTCCTTCCTCAGGATTGTTAGGATTACGGATGTAGATACTCTTTGAGGATATTTAGTCTGAGCATATCTAGGCCTGCTTTCTGGAAAGTTTCTTATTTCCAGTCCAGATTGAAAAGTTGCTCTTGGTGTTCAGATTATGTTGTATGTTTTTAAAAATAAAAACCCAACTATAAACTCTAGGGGACTAGTTACTGTTTACACTTTGTCATTGTTGGTGAACGAAGTTGCTGACCTGCCATTACTAATTTTAGTTTATTTAAACTTAAAAGAGTGGAGAGCTACTTTTTAGTATCCAGATTTCTTGAACAAATCTGTCTCATCTTTCTACCATTATTACAGCTGACTTACTCCTTGAGGGGTTTAATAACTACAGATTCCTGTCCAATGGCTACATACCCATTCCTGGCCAGCAAGATAAGGATAATTTTCAAGAGACTATGGAAGCTATGCATATCATGGGCTTTTCTCATGATGAAATCTTGGGTATGTTTATAAACCTTTTACCTTTTTAGTAGAGAATTGTATATTTTTATACTTGGGACTTAAGCAGAATGTAAACTATTTTCTCCAAGCTTAAGTTTATTCTGTATGTGTTTAGAATTTAGCATCCTGCACATGTCACCTTAATATAAATAATTTATGGCTCGAGAGATGAGCTTGAAAGTATGCTGGAATGTCTGGTGAAAAATTCAAAAGCTGGAAAAAGGTCTTGAGCAGATAGCTTATTACCCTTCCCCATAAGAGGAAATTATACTATACAAAATAATATGGCATAACTTATAGAGGTCACAGCTCCTCTTGGCTTTAGTATAGACTTTCAGTACATTTATTTAACTGCAGATTTTATTGAGTTTCTGACAAATACTTTTACTTAAAGTATTTGCCAAATTCAAATCTACATTAGCCTGAATTAGATGTGGTATGTCTTAGGCTAAGGTAGACAATGTGGTGCTATTTACATGCTCTGGACTACAACACCATTAGCACCAGACCAGTGGTCAGGGAATATAGGAATTATAGTCCAGATCATCTGGGACTCAGGTTACCTACCTCATCTAAGACACCACTCTTCCTATAGTTTCTATCAACCAGGGCTTTTTTTTCATCTGATTGCCTACTATATATAAATAAACAGATGTGTTTTTATGGCAAATGGAACATTATGTTTTCACTTCTCATATTTTCCTTAGCTATGTTGAAAGTGGTATCATCAGTACTGCAGTTTGGTAACATTTCCTTCAAGAAGGAGCGGAATACTGATCAGGCATCTATGCCAGAAAATACAGGTATATATATTTACAGGCACAGTAGAGCCTTACTTGAATTGAGTACATTTTATGCACTGTTATTTCAGTCCAAGGAACAGTTTACTGAACAACTTCAACATAGTTTCCTGACAGAGGCAGCTGTAATAAAAATAACCAGTGCTTGACTATTTAGAAATTTGTGTTGTTCATTCTCTTTATTCTGTCTGCACAGCTACTAAAAATACTGCCTGAAGAATCTCTGTGTTAAGATACTTGTTATTTTTAAAACTATTTGAATTTTAACCTCATTAAAGGGCTTATTAGGAAAGTCTTTAACGGTCCAAATAAAAATAGTATGTGTAGTTAAATCAGTTTATTGTTTTTGGGTTGATTCAACCTTTGAGCTGCCAACAACAGTGATTCTGGAACCAAGCACGACTTGTTGGAGAAATGGAGAGTTTAAATTCTATATTTAGAACATCTGATTATTGAATTGACAGGGTGCTATATATAAGACTGACTTTATCATTTAATAGTATTGGTATTAAATTGCTTAATTAAGGAGAAATTATCTAACATTAGTAAGAATTTTCTCTCACTTCTAATTCAGTATTTGATTTTCTGTGGCAAGGAGAGTCAAGATAGTTAAAAAGTTCTCTGTAAGTTGCTATTTAGTTTAATGGCTTCTGATACAATTCTTAGAGGAGAGAGAAACCAGCAGCTAACAAGATGTTTAAATAATCCTGCTGATGCTAGTATGTCTGCTTTCATGGTCAAAGGAGGCTCATTAAGCATTTTCAAGAGCAGCAAGTTAATATTTGTTAAAAAGTGTGCTCTGATTTTGATCAAACCTAATAGTACTGAATGTCTGTTTCCTGTACCTACAAGAAACCTGTAATAGACTGTTTTAGTATATTTTAACTGCAACACACAACTCTGTAAGGGAAGAATGATCTCTGAATTGTCAGATTGTGATTCGCTCAAGGTGGTTCTGGCGCTCTGTACCGTGGAGTGTATTTTGAGCCTGCACTGTATTGATGAAGTGAAAATTTGGGGTGTTACGCCGTGAGCAGTAATTTTCACCCTGCATTCTGGGAAAGCAAAGGATTCCATAGCTAGCTTATTAGGAATTCCTCTATGAAAAGATTGGTGGTGATGGTGGAAAAGCTTCCCTGAAGGTCAGCTTGCCCATCACTGTCAATGTTCTTCTATAGCATGTAGCTTCAGGGTAGTTCAGAATACGTGTGACGGTGCACTCTTGGTTCATGTAGGGTAGCACTGTGCCCAGTTTGCCCATATGAGTGCAGTTTGTACCCTAGAACACTGCTCAGAATCTTTTGCAATCTGCAAGGACTTCATGGTAGAAATATGTTCATTAACAGTAATGCTTATCTGAAAAAGGCTTATTAGTAATAAGATACTTAAGAAATACTGTTCCAAATCATTTTCTAAATCTTTCAACCAGTTGTTGAGTGGTAGTAGTGATAAATGACTGCATTGCTTGTATTTATAGTTGCACAGAAACTCTGTCACCTGTTGGGAATGAATGTAATGGAATTTACTCGAGCAATACTTACTCCACGCATCAAAGTGGGCAGAGACTATGTCCAGAAGGCACAAACCAAAGAACAAGTAAGCCCTGATGCAGAACTGTGAATTTTCTTGCTCCCAAAGTAGGCATCAACGTTCAACTAGCAAACATTATGCTGTTTCTTCTGACATATTTCCCCCAATTGCAGACTTGGTAGGAGTGGTGCAAGGGGAATCTCTAAAGTTTTTTTTTGGGAGGGGGGTGGAGAAATACATTTGTATAATCCCCTGTTTTTTGGTGGAGAAGGATTTTTATGAATATTACAGTATTAAAGTGCCACTAGTAAATCAACGGCAGGGTTTAAGGAGATCAGATGGGTGAAAACAGTTTTGGGGGTGTTCGTTTTCTGCTTAATGGATGTGCTGGAGAAATTAAGTGCTTTGTTCTAGGTGGAGTGGATAGATAACACATTGTTAAGGAAAATTTATGAAAGTGTTCCCTATATAATGCAATAGAAGCCCTTAAAGTTTGGGGAGCTTTAAAAACTGATTCCACTGCCTCTTATGTGCAGTTTTCATGATTTATGTACAAGGTGAGGGGTTGGAGCGGTGCCGTTTGGTTTGGTTCACATTTGAATACAATTTGCTGTTTAGGAAGTGTGAATTGGGTGACTTCATATTAAAATACATATTGAAATACATGAATGCAATTATCCTTCCAGGTTTTTTTTCCATTTTGAATTCTGTATTTCATTCCTCTAATCAAAATGCATATGTTAGTGAAAATACAATTCAGAAATGCACATATTAGGTAAAATTCATGTGAAGCTACACCCAGAGAGTTACTCTGTCATTCATAGTTGGTCTTGACTTATGTTCAGTAGGTACAATCTTCAGAATTAGATCTCTGTTATTGAATTTTCCTTTATTCCTTAAGTTTATTTCCTTAAGTTTTATACTTGAATAATACTTGTGTTGTATTTCTTTCCATTAGAAGTATGAACGGTATTGGCCTGCTTTGATTTGTCCTAATATGTGCTAAACTCTATATTCTTTTTTTCATGTAACTTCCTCAAATTCTTTTTTAAATGTTCAGGCTGACTTTGCAGTAGAGGCTTTGGCAAAAGCCACATACGAGCGCCTTTTCCGATGGCTTGTTCACCGTATTAACAAAGCTCTGGATAGGACCAAGAGACAGGGAGCTTCTTTTATTGGCATCCTGGACATTGCTGGATTTGAAATCTTTGAGGTACTGTGCTAAAAAAAAATCCTTCATTGCTTAACTCATTTTGTTATATTAATTTATCACCATGCATAGTTTATTCACCCTATTCAAAGCTGTACAGAAAACACAGTTTTCTGTAAGAAATTCTGTACTGTGAACTCTAAATTTAAGTACTGAATGTTTTTAAGAGCAGACTACTCTTTGGTGATTAGGACTGCCTTTTAAGCAGTCTTGGAAAACCAGATGAGATGGGTTTTCTGTAACAGTAATTAGTGTTCATATTTCCATATTAGTGTTCATATTTCCATATTTTGGTCAAATACTGCACTGATTTGTTCTGAAAAAATTAGTTGCAGTGATGTTAATTCCTTAAAATTCTGGGAGAAGGTCAACCGATTAATTCTAAGATTTTTAAAATTAACTTTATTAAGGTTTGATAAAGAAGTATAAGGAAATGCACACTTACCACATGATTGTCACCTCCACGGTAATATATGCAAAACATCAAAAGTTTAATTAAAATCCCACCAGTTAGAGTGTGTGGTACATGAACTGTGAGATTTTGCAGTTCTGAAATTAACTTGGATTATTACAGCTAGTCAGGAAAGGAGATCTTGTGCTAGGACTGAGGAATGATGGAAGTAGTTTAAACAGTCTTGGAATTAGTAAACTACAGTGATCAACAGCCTGTTTTTGATAGAAGGAAGTGGAGATGTCGGCATAATCCAGCTGTTGAGTATGTTGCAGTTTATTTTTTCCATTGTTAAACTTTACTTTTTTAAATTAACAGAAATGCAAATAAAGTTTTCTTGCTCTGTAACTAGTAAAGGCTATACAATGCTAAAAGTTCCTTTTTTATTCTTTTCCCAGTTAAATTCCTTTGAACAACTTTGTATCAACTACACCAATGAAAAACTGCAGCAGTTATTCAACCACACCATGTTTATCTTGGAGCAGGAAGAGTATCAAAGGGAGGGCATAGAGTGGAACTTTATTGACTTTGGACTGGATCTACAACCTTGTATTGATTTAATTGAAAGACCTGTAAGTTCTCCTATCCATGTATTTTTCACAGCTGATACTTTCTCAACCAAGATGTTTGTACCATAAGGCATTCCTTAAAGTTTATTGATCTGAATGCCCATTCAACATACGTTTCTACTGTAGTTCCTTATTATTACATTTCTTTTGTTGACAAGTCTAGCATTCCTGCCCTTCTGAATTATATTTGTGATTTTATTTACTCTGCTTTTCCAGTTCAAAACTTGAACCGCTCATAGTGGGTTTCAAAGCAAACAAAATCCAGATAAAAACTATGTTACAAAATTTGAACTAAACTGTAGACATTCTAAAATACGCAGTACTTGCGTACAGTACAGTAATTTGACTTAATTATTAACAAAGCATTGGCACCTAAACCTGTGTCCTGATGTTCTCAGGGTGAACTTAAGTCTTATGTTAAAACTTAATTTATGAAAGAAATTGTGAGGAAGCATATCTTTTTGAATGTCACTAAGTTCTTTTTTTCTTGTCCTATATCTTAAATTGTTCTGATTAAAGCAATTTTATTTTGATAGCTTTAATTATATTCCAAATAGTTTTACTTTGTGTAGTTGGATATGTATTGTGAAGTAGAACATTGAATTGGTTGGATTTGCTTGAAGGCAAAAAATCATTGCTTTACAGTGTTAGCGGTATTCTTCATGTACGTTTGTTTGGTGAAAGGAATTTTGAAGAGAGTACATGAGAAAAAAGAGACACTATTGCTATATATTTTTTTTAAACCCTTGTTAGGCAAACCCCCCTGGCGTACTTGCTCTGCTAGATGAAGAATGTTGGTTTCCTAAAGCAACTGACAAGACATTTGTGGAAAAATTGGTCCAGGAACAAGGTACTCATTCCAAATTCCAGAAGCCTCGGCAGCTGAAGGATAAGGCAGACTTCTGTATCATACATTATGCAGGAAGGGTAAGAGTTAAAAGCTATATTTCCTAAGCATTTTTTAGAATTGGAGAATTCAGCTATTTGAAGGGGATTAAGAAGCTTCAGCAATGTACATACCTTACCTTAAGACTTTTGAATGTCCCTGCATCCCTATGTAGGTCCCAGTGTCCTCAACTTTTTCACTCAATCCTGACTCTGTAGTTGCCTTAGAAGTTTAAAAGACATTTGCTTACTCTTTTTCTGACAGCTATCAAAAGTAAATGGGGAGGGTTAAAACTGGGGGGAAAGTGTAGTTTGGATAGGGAAGTATACATATGAAACATGAGTGAAATCACCAAGAGCAGCAAGGTTTTTTTGGCTTGCCCATGGTATTTATTTATTTATTTATTGGATTTATATCCTGCCTTTTTCCTACAAGGGGCTCAAGGCAGCTTACATCATTCTCCTCCATCTTATCCCCACAACAACCCTGTGAGGTAGGTTGGGCTGAGAGTGTGTGACTGGCCCAAAGTCACCCAGTGGGCTCCATGGCTGAGCGGGGACTCGAACCCAGGTTGTCTGAGTCCCAGTCCCATGCTCTTAACCACTACACCACACAAAAGCCCATTGTGGGTAAAACAATCACTAGAACACTCTGTGTGTTCTCAGAGTAGCTTGTTGGGGTTGGGGGAATACAAGCAACCCTACAGGAAGCAGTTGGTATGACTTGGTAATTCACCATGGCCTGTGGCCTAGAATGCTCATTATTTGAACTGGGTCATAATCTACATGAGTCAATTTCAGCTCCTGGGCTTTTCTAGGCTGAGCTCCGGTTTTAGAATAACAGTAGAATCATCTCTGTCAGTGGACTACAAAGTTGTTCTAGCTGGTACCTTGAATTATAATGAGCCTCGTATCTGTGGAATGAATGACATTTTCTTAGTAAATATGTCATGTAATCTGAGTATTGGTATAAAATGAAAGATCCCCCACCTAAATCCAATTGACAAATATCTCTGGATTCCTTCCAGGAAATAAAAAGCTATTGAACTTGCTGCTAGGTCTGGGTCAAACCCTTATTGGAATCAGTCCTTTCAAGCATGTGCAGGCTTCCTCTTGTGCTCAGCTCAGTCTTTCCAGGCAAGCTGAACAGAGAACACTCATGGACCCCCAGCTGCACAACCAGCAACTTCTTCCATTGCTGCAGCTAGCATGGAAGAGGAATGCTGTTGGCACTGAAGTCACGGGGAGGTGACTGCAAGCCCACTGCAGCCAGCCTTCTTGAGCATCAGCTGTAGCTGCTCAAACAGCTCCTGCCCCTGTGAGAGGGGTGCTGCTAGTGGTTGTGGGGTCAGCAGAGGGCTGCCTTCTGAGAAGTCCCCTGCAAACAAGCCTTCTTTGATGTAAGTTCCAGTGCTCAAACGGTGGCTGCTAGTTGTGCAGAAGAGGAAGTGCTGCTTGTGCAGTACATGATGCTCAATTCCTGGTGAGTGTTCCATGAATGCTGGGCATGCTCATCAGGAACTCAAGACTTTGGACTGCTGCAAAGCACCTAAAGTCTGGGAAACTGAGCCTAGGAAATCTGATGGATTTCTTGGGTGGGTTAATCCCACATCTCTTCTTGCTACCATATGAAGTGGTTAGCCTGGATAGCACAACTCTGGGTGAATTAAGTGGACAGGGAATAAAGCCCTGTCGCATCTGCTCACTGAAGACAGAGAGAAGTTAGAGGATTATTTCTGTTAAATACTCCCCTTCTGTACCAACATGCCCTTTGGCAGCCATACATTGTTAGTCTGAAAGGGAGTTCACTGAAAATGAGTTCAGTGAATCCATGTGCAATGTCTCCTGAACATGCGAGAAGAAGCCATCTAATTTTTCTGAAGACAGGTTGGCAATATGTACTATATTTATTTGCTTCATTTCAGGTGGACTACAAGGCAGATGAGTGGCTTATGAAAAACATGGACCCTCTGAATGACAATGTGGCCACCCTTCTGCACCAGTCTTCTGACAAATTTGTTGCAGAGCTTTGGAAGGATGGTAAGACTCTGTTCTGAATGTACACAGTCAAGCTGTAATTTCCTGTGGGGGAGAAATGCACAGCAGGGGCAGAGGACAGCATATCTGGAAGCGTTAACAAATGAATCTTGAGTGGACCAGTGCTATGAACTTTAGTTGTACATACAGCTGCACCTTGTGCCCATGCATTACTGTTTTGAATAGATGTACTATTCTATCATAATTATTTAAAGTCATGCCTGAAAGTCTTCATTTAGGGCTAAACCGCCTTCAGTCTTGCATGACAGTCTGAAGTATTGAAGCTGTTGTTTCATTATTGGTAAAGAAAACAGTGTAGTCATGGTTCACTGGTAAAGCCAAGAGGATAGTGGGACAGCCAGCAATTTTGAATAATTAAACTTATATTAGCCTTCCTGTATGTTGATAATGTAACATAATACTGTGCTAATGCTTATCATTGCATTGATATTTCTGTGTGTGTCAGGTATGACAGGGCACAACCATGCTTCAGAGCAAGCCAAGCCATGCAGTTTTACACTTCAGTTTTCTTTACTGCTTGCTTTACTACTTTGCTTTTTGCTGGAACCGTGCTAGATTAGAACAAAGGCCTATCTAGCCAGTCCTCCTGTTTGTCACAGTGGCCAACCAGATGCCTGTAGGAAGTCCATAACCAGAATTTGTTTTATTTTATTTTATATATCATCTTGTAGCCACACAACTCCCTTGACAACAGTTGTCCTCTCCTGGGGTTGCTTCCCAGCAATTAGTATTCAGAGGTGTGCTGTGTCTGATCCTGGAGGTAGTAGCTGTCTTGACTAGAAGCCATGAATACTTATACTCCATGCATTTGTTGCAAATCCTGTCATTTAACTTTGTGTTGTGTGCCATTTGTTTGTCCTCAATCTCCCACCACTCAACTTTATTTAGAAGATTTCTAGTATTGTAAATGAGAACAATTCTCTAAACTTTCCTGAGCCAATACATAATATTATAGACCTCATAATGTCCCCCATTTACCCATGGTTTTCGCTGTACCAAAAAGCTCCAAATGTTGGAAATTTCCCCCGTAGAGGAGTTGCTCCAGCTCCTTGGTCATTTTGGTTTTCCTTTTGCAGTATACTTTCTAGCTGTACAGTACCTTTTTTGAGATACTGTGGTGGAACAGTACACAGTATTCCAAGTAAGGTTGCACCATAGATTTTGGTAAACATTATGATAACTGGTAGTTTTATTTTCAGTCCCTTTCCCAACTAGCTTCTGAATGAAAGTAAATATGCTGAGTACTTACTTGGTACATGTGTAGATTTATGGAGATAGCCATTAAATAGTCTGAATTCTATGGTATATGTCATATGAACACCATATGGAAATACTGTATATTGCTGTGGAGCAGTGAGTGTATATGTACCGACATAACATGAATATATAACATGCCTTGCAGTGTAGAGATTTTTGTAGTCTTTCATTTTGTGGAGAGTGTGTGAGAACCGGGCATATCCATCTATGTCCATGTCATATTGTAAGCACTGTATAACACCTGCATGCAGTCTCCCAGCTTCATGGAACATACAGTATTTTTATTTGGAGGACCCCTTGAATCAGTCTAAATATGCACGAGTGCTCCTAATGTTCTCTGATTAAATATTTTTCAGCAACAGTTCCGTATTATAAAATGTGAAACCACTCTTCAATGTAGTTTACTTGTAAGACCAGGTCCAAATAAATGCATTGTACCTGAGATCCACAGTGGCTCTGGTACTTGGTTAAAACATGCTTGCAATTCTCAATGGTGTTCTCTTTACTAACTGGACTGTCTTGTGTATCTGCTCTTTATTCTTGCTGTTTCTGTGCTGTAGAGATTCACAATATTCAGAGAGCCTCTTTCTATGACAATGTTACTGGTCTTCCTGATGCACCAGGTGAATGAATTAAAAAATAGGCCTTCTAAAAGCAGGACTTGAACCTACAGGAAAACCATTTTTGCTTGTAGGCCAGCATGAAACTTTCATTTCATCCTAACCTTAGCTTTACTTCCACAAGGCAAGCATTCTTGTGTGCATACTGTTCAGTTGCTACTGCCTACATATAGTGTCTTGCTTTATGTACTGCACTCTTTAAAAGCTTTGCAAATGAGTAGCTTTGTTTTGAAACATGGACTTGTCTTACCAATATACCCTTGATACCTCTGGCATTTTGAAATTAGGGTCATGAGTGCTCTGATTTGTTATATTCTATATGTGTTAATGTTGTCTGTAAATAACTAACAAAAATACTGGCAACAGTATTAGAAGTTGCCTCTTTAGAATTTGGCATTAGATAGCATGCTGATGGCTGATAAATAGTATCATTACTGTTAAATGCCTATATTTTCAATGACTTGGGCCAAGGAGACAGATTCTGCCAGCTCTTTATTCTGATCATGCTACTCTTTCAGAGGAATTCCAGAACCAAATCTCACTTGCTGCAATCTAAACCCCCCTCCTAGGAAGTATGACACCTCCGCCCCCACTGAACATAGTGAGACTCTTTCTTTTGAAAATTTTTATTTTCTTAACATCAACAAGTACACAAAAAAGAATGTGAAACAGAATAAACAAAAATGAACAAAGTTCACTTACTTTTGAGTAGGCATATAAAGGATTGTGTTATGTCTATACAAGGTTTTGTTACATACTGCTTTATATAGCTACTCAGCAATTAAGGCAAGACTTAAGGTTGCCCCTGGTCTTATTTCTCCATGAAGTAAGTTAAAGGCAGCTTGTGAATGAGTCCACTAACCTGCAAAATATTGTACGTACCTGCTGAGAATGGAATGTTGTGAGAAATTTAAATAGTGGCCATTCAGCTGTCCTGCTTTCAGGGAAGTTCACCAAAACCTGCCAGTAGAAGAAGGGCCCATCAGATAATTTGCCCAAGGGACCTCTCAGACTTGGAGCTGCGCTCATAGAAAGCTCTGCCTCTCCTGAATTGGACTGCTGTGTTTCTGTGCATGGTATGAGGGAAGTGGCTTCCCCTCTGTGAGCCTGCTTGGAGACAGGAGGAAGGGAATAATCTACCCATCTCCTGCCAGGCTGCTCCTTTGCATGCAGGTGAATGCATAGAATTCCAGACAGGCATTTAGCTGTCATTTCTTGCTTTAAATACAAGGCTGTGTTAAAGAACAAGCTTTGGCAAAGTCATAGCTGCCTTTAAAAACCATAGAATTAAATATTTTAAAATGCTCCTTTTAAAAATTAGCATATTTTATAGAAGATATATATGTGAATTTTGAATGTATCCTAAATTGAATGTATCATTATAGTGGCAAATGAAGCATGGCTGTGTGTCTCTTTGCTGTTGCTTTTTTAATTAATCCTTTCATGCACTGGGCTTCCTTGAAACTGCTAAAGATCTCTGAAATCTACTCTCAATAGATACTTTATTTTGTGAAATGAGATGAATGTGTATATACTTCAGAATCACACTATCAGGGGTTCATTTAATTTGAGGAGATTTGTTATAGCTTGATTTAACCCTCATTAGAAGGTTCAACATTTATTTTTCCATTGGAAAGGATTTTGATAGAATAAAATTACTAAAGTGGAAGGTAGTACAGTTTTTACTTGTAGGCCAGATTCTCAAATGTTTAGTACCATGAGGTACTACCCTGTCAGTACAGCTGCTATACCTAGAGTGTGTAGATTTTCATTTGGGTTGAGATTGGGGGATGGGGGGAGGTATGCCTGTACGTTTTTCATGTAGTGTAATTCTAAGTATATTGAACACTTTACTGTTTAAGGCTAAGGTATTTTATTATCCACATCTCACCGAGGAAAAGATAAAAGTAGAATGTATTTTCATTTTAAGAATGTCAGAATCGTGCATAGATTTGTTTGACTCAGCTGGAATGTTAAATATCCCTAGTGGAATAACTAGGTTGATTAGCAAGAAGTTATCTGAACATTTTCAGTGTGTTAGGTTTCTTGGAATATCCTGTGTAACAGCTCTTTTGAGATTTGTTGTTTGTTTTTTCTGCCCCAATTCCTGAGCAAACATGGTTTCCCAGTTTGTGAGTGCTCTCTTTCCTTAAGGTTGAAGGTATATTTGATCTCATTTATATAATCTATAGAAGGAAACAATACTGAAAAATGTAAAGAGTAAGAAAGTCTTATCAATCAATGTCAAATATGTAGTAGAAATTTCAGCTCTTTGGCACAGCTTCAGTCTTGGACTTGGTATGATGTCATGGGGAAAATGGCAGTGGTAAATCCAAGAGGTTTTACTTCTGTATTGCAGTTTTATATAGAAATATTTAATGCTTGCTTAAAGTAAGCAGAAAATGTGGAGGATGATGGCGAATTGTACGTAGTACAAAATTTAATGCATTTAGTCTTTTGAGTTGTTTAGGTATATTGTAAACTTCTCCACACTGTTCATTTTATGTTTCCACTCCATTCTTTGCAGCTTCTTGGTCAAAAATTCCTTTTATGTATGAAAAGGGAATGGCTTTGGAATATGTAGACATATTGGGCTTCCCAGTACGTTGTTGCCAAAGCTACAATATTCTGCCTGGTTTGTTGCTTTCAAGCCTGCTTTTTCCATACTTGCTGATTGCTTTGGCACAGATGGCACCTTCCACCATTTGTCACACAAAGCATTTGTTGTGTGTTTACCTCTTTGAACTGCCTCTGTTCCTAAATCATGTTATGGTCCTCTTAATTATCTGTTCTTGTTGCCTACAGTGGACCGTATTGTGGGTCTAGATCAAGTGACTGGGATAACAGAGACTGCTTTTGGCTCAGCTTACAAGACCAAGAAGGGCATGTTCCGTACCGTGGGACAACTATACAAAGAGTCACTCACCAAATTGATGGCCACACTCCGAAACACTAACCCAAATTTTGTGCGCTGCATCATTCCAAACCATGAAAAGAGGGTATGTACTCTCAAGAGTTGTGGTGCTGTCTGATTTCGAGTACAGAAGTTGCTTTCTTTTTTGCTTCAGAAAATTGACATTTTTGTATTTCTGGTTTACTTCTCTATACACAAGATCATATGATCCTTAGTTAATGTTTATTTTTACAATAACATTAACCAGTAAAATAATGTACTTTTACAATAACATTAATCAATAAGGCTAAACATAAAGAGTTGATTAAAACCAGCTTGTAATTTGTGTATATGTGTGTTTTCTAGGCCGGAAAGCTGGATCCACACCTAGTTCTAGATCAGCTTCGCTGTAATGGTGTTCTAGAAGGAATAAGGATTTGTCGACAAGGATTTCCAAATAGGATTGTGTTCCAAGAGTTTAGGCAGAGGTACTGTAGTAGCTAAGCTCTGATCAAAAATGTGTGTATGCATGGTTTGCTTCTTCAAATATTTAAACCCAATTTTCTTCTCCCTTACCTTTTCCAGCTTACTTTCATTTTGGCCAAAGATTGTGCAGATACTAGATGAAATTCTCTGAACTTAACTATTCCTTTTTTGATTTATATGTAGGTATGAGATTCTGACTCCTAATGCAATTCCTAAGGGTTTTATGGATGGGAAGCAGGCTTGTGAGAGAATGGTAAGCCATTCAGTAGCAGTCTATTATGGCTAAAACTACTTTCTTCCTTGCATTCTTTATGCGAAACAAATGGTTTTGACTCTTGCATAGATCAGAGCACTGGAGCTGGATCCCAACTTGTACAGAATTGGACAGAGCAAGATTTTTTTCCGAGCTGGTGTTCTGGCACATCTGGAAGAAGAAAGGGATCTGAAGATAACAGACATCATTATCTTCTTCCAGGCAGTCTGCAGGGGATACCTTGCCAGAAAGTAAGTGGAAAACTTGTAATGGATTTAGTGGAAGCATTCCGTCTGCAATAAGATGAACTGCTATTTAGTTGATGAGAAGCTTGATGATCTTTGCATTTCAGAACTGCTTTTTACATGTGGGGGAAGTGGCCTGAGGGAATAAATCCTTTGCTTCTCTGATAAAGTGTGATTATTCTCCCTTGCACCTAGGTACAGCTTTGCTGTGGTTGTGTGAAATGTTTCTGATGTGGCTGTTAAAATGCAAAACTTCTCAACTTGTTTGTCTTTAGGGCCTTTGCGAAGAAGCAACAGCAGCTGAGTGCATTGAAAGTTCTGCAGAGAAATTGTGCTGCCTATTTAAAGTTAAGGCACTGGCAGTGGTGGAGGGTGTTCACAAAGGTAGCTTGCCTCTCCTCCCCCATTCTCCTCACATGCTGAATTCCCAGTAGAAGGTACATGCCCTGCTAACTCTTGTTCCTTGTATTAACTCCTGTAGGTGAAGCCTTTGCTTCAAGTTACTCGCCAGGAGGAAGAACTTCAGGCTAAGGATGAGGAACTGATGAAAGTGAAGGAAAGACAGATCAAGGTGGAATCAGAACTTGAAGAGATGGAAAGGAAACATCAGCAGGTCTGTATACACAGTCTGACTTAACGGATGACTACTGATCGGTGTACATAGGTGATTTTTTTTTTTTTTACTTTTATCAGCTATGGCACAAAAATGTGATAGTGCACACTTCTACTTATAAATTTAATTGAAAACCTGTGATTGTCTGCCTAAGGTCAGTTGTTCTAACTTTGCTCACTGTGATTAGTTAGATGCATCTTTGGGAAAGCCAGGGTTATAGTGCGCGTAGAAATAGAAAGCCAGGTATGTGGGCGTAAATACACAGAACTAGCTACAGCAAACTTACTTTACTGTCTCATGTGTAGAAAATAGACCTGGAAAGGTTTCTGTGTAGAAACACAGGACCTGAATCTTAAATACTATTGGGAAGTTCAAAGCCAAGCTGTGGAATACTGCAGAAGTCCTTTCTCAGAAGCCTCAGTCCTTTCTGCTCAGCCCTTTCTAATACTAGGGCACACCTTTGTCCATCTCAATGTGTATATATATCCCCCCCACCAACCTTACATATTGCTTCTGGTTGCAAGAATATCTGGAGCATAGTAAATTGAACTTGGATGTTGGAACAGGAGGCTGGAATAGAGGAAAGATACATTTCCAGGCTTGCCTCCTGTTTTCTTCTATCCTTTGTAAGAACTGGAGAAAAGGTAAAGCACAGAAGGCTGCAGCAAGCACTTTCTTCAATTGTGTGGCTCAGAGTTTTTATTATTATTAGCTGTGGAGATCATTCATTCCTGATAGTTCCTTAGCCCTTCTTTCAGTGGGCAAACCTGTATCAGACTTTCCCATAGCTAGGTTAATTTCCACAGATTGAAACTTCTTGACATGCAGTGAAAAAGGTTAACAAACTTTCTTGCCATGTTTACAGCTTCTAGAAGAGAAGAACATCCTTGCAGAGCAGTTGCAAGCAGAGACAGAACTCTTTGCTGAAGCTGAGGAGATGAGAGCCCGACTAGCTGCCAAGAAGCAAGAGTTAGAAGAAATTCTCCATGATTTAGAATCCAGAGTAGAGGAGGAAGAAGAAAGGAACCAAGTGCTACAAAATGAAAAGAAAAAAATGCAGACTCATATACAGGTATGTGATGGTGCACTGCTGGTAAGATAATTGAAAAATGCCCAAGTATTAGTGTGCTGATTTCTTCACTGTTGGTTTAGTTAACAGTGGACTGCTGTTTTCCCTTTAGGATTTAGAGGAGCAGCTTGACGAAGAAGAAGGTGCTCGACAGAAGCTGCAGCTTGAGAAGGTTACAGCAGAAGCCAAAATAAAGAAGATGGAAGAAGAAATCTTACTGTTAGAGGACCAGAATTCCAAATTTCTTAAGGTGGGAACAGGTTGTGCCACTTCCCTTTAGTACTAGTGAATTTGGCAACAGTCTGGCAGCATGTGAACGGTGACTATTATGGGATCTGTACTTGCCCTGACAATGTTTTTGAAGGACTGAAAATCAGATGTGTGCTCTATGGTGACTGGGTTATGGGAAATCCTAAATCCACTGATCTAAATATATAACAGCTTTTTGTAAGTGAACACTTCATTACATTCAGTCACAGCTAAAGAGTGAGTTCACTGCTTTTTACTGACCACAGTTTAAACAAAAATTCTGGACGTGATTGCCTACTGGAGTACATGGAGTAAAGGGCTTGCCCACCAATAAATTGCCTGCCTCAGTTACTCCTTCAGCATGTTCCCACCCACATGTTTTTACAAAGTCAGTATTTACTCTTAGAAAAGGAGTCTTTTTGGAATTCTTTATTGTGTAAGTGGTTCTCTGGAAATATTTCAGATCATTTTCCCTTTCTTTGAACCATGTTGCATTGTTGCCATATTTTATTTGGCATCAATAGCACAGGGAGAAAGTAGTGATGAATATTATGCCCTTCTGTAAATCTCTGTCAGTTACTTTCAAGTAACTGTTTCTACTATTCTTTCTGCTAAATATGGGGCTTGTCTAGGTATATTAAATTTGCCCAAAAGTGTTTGCTTCTTTCTAAATACAAAGTGTCTTTCCAGTTCACCTCCAGTATTAGTTGTGAAAACTGGGGAGGATAAATAACAATACTGAGAAACTATGGAGAATCACTTTTGTCATAAACATCATTAAAATCAACACTATCCAAAACTACAACTGTGAGACCCATGTCTAGTGCCCTGGGACCATCCATTTACTTCTTGGCTGCTTATTTCTCTTAATTAGGAGAAGAAATTAATGGATGATAGAATTGCAGAGTGTACTTCACAGCTGGCTGAAGAAGAAGAAAAGGCAAAAAATTTGGCTAAACTCAAGAACAAGCAAGAAATGATGATCACAGATCTGGAAGGTAAAGCATATAGATTTATTAGAATAAATTAACAGCTACTATAAATCAATAAATCCAACATATAGCATAAAACACACATTGAAAGCCAGATGTAAAACTTGTTGGAATTACTAGACCAATACAAAAAGTCTTCACCAGGAGTTGAAAAGTCGTTTGTTCCCAGATAAGTTACTTTAGGTATGGCATTCCATGTATGAGGTGCCAGAACCAAGTTATCTTTCATGGTTGCCACCTGCTTAACATCAGGTGGCTGAAGAACTTGGGGTAGGTTCTGTGTTTGTGTAGAATAGTATCATGGGGTTATTTAGAACCATAGAATAGTTGAGTTGGAAGGGGCCATGAGGGCCATCGGGTCCAAACCCCTGCTGTTGCAGGACGCCACATTACACCATCCCACTCAGATGACTTGTTTCACTTGCTCCAACAGAAAGGATTTATGCAAGTTTTAGAATTTTGTAAGGGAGGAATAACTGCCCTCTCGCAATTTCTGACCTGGGTTTTGTTTTTGATAATCAGAAGACTAACAATATAAGGCCTGAACAAGCTCAAGTGTTACAAGCCAGTCCTTGGGTATCCATGTCACAAACCTCAGTGAGCAGCAACTTATGCAAATTATCAAAAAATTAGTTCATTTATTTTGGAGCTATTGGGTAAGGTTTCGGTAACTGTGAGTAGTTGACATAACTTTGTGTATACCTTAAAATGGGCATAATCACTGGCACCAGGCTTGCTGAAGAGAAAAGCAAGTAGACATCTCTTCTTTCCATCGGTGCTGCCCTTTCTAGCCTTACTGGGAAACCAGAATGGGACCTTCCACTCACTGTTGCTCCCTCCCTCCCTCCCTCCCTCCCTCTCTCTCTGAGTCTCTCTCTTTTAGATTAGCTCCATAACATTAACTTAACCAGCTCAAGGTTTTTCAAGAAAACACTGTCCCTAATGTGTATTGGAATGATGTTTTAAACTTTTATGTAGAAAAGTGCTTGTTTTTGCTTCCCCAATTATTCCTAAATTGAGTTGTTTTTCTTAGTCCCAACATTCTGTTTTCAACAACTCCCCTTCTGCCTCTCGGAACTCACTTGACTGTGTTTTTACAAGAAATGCCGTGCAATTTTTGCAGTGTTATATTTGCCTTATCAACAGTATATGTAACCTCCTTGGATTTAGATATGCAATTATTTTTGGCTGTAAAACACATTGCTTTGTAGAATGCTGACTTGGCAGTTTACTAATATTACACATTTACTGATCTCTGTGTCCTAATTTGGACATGATTTCTTTTTCTCTTTGACCAGCTGTTTTGATTATGAATGTATTGCAGTTGCTGACTTCCAGCCAGATAAGCTGAAATTTAATAATAAGCATAACTGAGCTATACTTCTAAGGGTTTATATTGAAAGACATTAAGTTGGGCATATCCTCCATTACTCTAGCCCAGGGATGGGCAGCTTGGTCCTCCAGATATTTTGACCTACAACTCCTGTCAGCCCTTGCCAGCATAGCCAATGATGAAGATGATTGGAGTCACAGGCCAAAACATTTGAAGGTTCATACATTGGCCAATCCTGCTCTAGACTCATCATGGCAAACATGCATTTTGGCACTATATGTCCCTCTTTCAACAGTCTACAGTGGGAAATGAAGAAGAGAATCCATTTTTAACACAGTGTTGTTCCATTTTGTTTTTTTCTCCAAAGCATCAGGGGAATCAAAACCAGAAATCAGGTCAGATTTCCAGAGCCTGGAGTGATTGCTCTTTCCCTTTTCCAGCATCTGCTGGGGAAGTAGGTTCCTCCATGAATTCCTAACTCGAGAACTAAGATTAAACAATGAAAAGGTTTTGTTCTGGCTCTGTGATCAACAGCCAGTGTGGAAAGCAAGTACTCCTCTTTATACAAGGGTATGGGAAGAATCTCCCCAGTGTCACAGTCCTGCCCAGCAGAAGGTTGTCTTGCCTCTCACCCCAGTTGTTCTATTGAAAGTAAACAATGATCTGCATATTTGGGACACGCTCCTTATAAAAATTGCTCTTCCACATTAGCGGCTTTGAATAAGTCACACAGGCTCTAAAGAGCACCATTAATGTTTGTAGTCCTCTCCAAGGCAGCTAGCAAATACTACTTTGCGTTCAGTACAAATGGAAACTTGAGTGTTGGTGTCTATCACACTTTTAATTTGTATTACAAATATAGAAGCAGAAAATCACAAATTATATAAACCACAATTACAAACAACACACATGCACTTACAGTTGCCAAGTGAGTTAATCATAGTTTTCCCGGTACACAGTATAAATGGTATCCAATGTTGTCCTCAAAACCTTATATTAACATTGCAAATCCTCTACAGTCATTGATGTCCAAGTCAAATTGTTCATGTACATAATAAATGACATTCAAAGTTGTCCAAATTTTGATTTTTTTGTCTGTCCTCCTGTAGTTGAACAAAGTCTGTTAACTGAAGTATGTACCTATCCTGTCAGTCCATTCTTCTGTAGAAGGAGCAATAGGTAGTCTCCAGTTACCAATAATAGCTAATTAAGCGGCCGTTAAAAAATTCCCTACCAATTCTACATTCTCAGCATGTTTGAAATATGTATTTGGGGAGTATGAATTTGCACAATATGTACGAATGCATTTCTGCAAAATCCAACTCTGTCAATAGATGACAAAAAGAAAGACATCTGATAATCCACAAAATGTGGAACAGCTTCCACGGCATCCTTACATCCCTGTTCGAAGCTAGATTCATTTGGAATCTCTTACAGTTGCCATGGAGCGAGAGTGCGCAAAGCACCTTTATGTATGTAGGAGCTTTGTAATCATGCTTCAGAGCAGAAGCTTTTTTAAACTAAATAGTCCTTAGTGAAAACTCTATTTTGCTTCAGAATATATCCAGTTGTCAGGAAACCACTACTTTAGTGTTTTTAAAATTCATTTAGATATTTCTAGTCCGTAGCACAAAAGATGACTGAGATTATCTAAGATGTCTCTTTGTTAGGTGAGGCCGCAGTTGACTTTATAACAACATTCATTTTGAATGATACTCTTCCCTTTCGGAAGACTTTGGGAGAAATCCCCTATTATGGGGAAAGAAGCCATTTCCTGGAGTTTTTGAAGGGAAATAACTTAAACAAATGGATGCTAGACATAATCTGTCTGAGCTATTCTTTCTTACCTGGTAAGCATCTATTATTGTCAGAGGTTGCCTGATGATTAGACCTCTATGCCACTTGCTTTTTGTGTTCCACTTTGGAATTTTTCAGTTTTTTAAATTAAGGTGGCTTACAAGTAAAATAAAGTTCAGTTATTATATTGATAAAACTATTAAGGGAAAAGAGATTATTTCATAAGGATACATCCAGCAGGAGAGCTGAAAGTAGAAGGTGTGTTGGGGAAAGAGAAAAACAGTTCAGTCAAAGTGGCAGCCTGAGATGATCTTTTGCTGACACCAAGTTGTATTTTTGGTGTTTGAATACTTTAAATTTCAACCAAACAAAAGTATGAAGCGGGAAAAACCACACTGATTTGAATATATCCATTTCAGTCTGCATATATAAAGAGATGGAGGCTGTACACTAGGTTTGGGATGAAACCTTTTGGAATCTGCCCCTCCAGAATCTGCAGACTTGCTCTCATGCAAAGTGAGCCGAGCCAAGAGGAAGTCTACAAATGTTTGTGGACCCCCTGGTTTTGCAGCTGGCAACCTTCACCACTATTCCCAACAGCCAGTCTTCTTCCCTGCATGCTGCTGCTGCCAGTGGTGGCAGCGGTGCAAGTGAGCAGGTGCTCCAGCTGCCATTCCCAGTGCCCAGCCTTCTTCCCTGCTCAGTGCTGCTGACCTGATCTCTGTCAAGCACCCCACAAACCCTGGGTACATTTGCCAGGAACTGGGGCCCTGGGCTGCTGCAAAGTGGGCTGGAGTTCAGGAAGCCAAGCAAGGGATCCTGGCGGATTTTCCACACAAGATGGAGTCCTCACACATACAGCTTTCCAAGAAAATACAGCTTTCCAAGAATTTTGCATAATTTTTGAAAGGCAGACCAAATACCCATTCCAATACTGCAACTGTTGTTAGATCCTCAATCCATTGCATTATATGAGGTGAGTGCTGTAACATTAGTCTTTTAGCTCTCACAGACCCGCAGAGAATCCTCTTGTACTGGCCATGTGTTAATTTTATGGCAGATAATTTACAATGACATGTATATTAACGAGTGTTTGGATGCAAAGCTTATCCACGTAATTTTCTTTCTAAATGTGCAACAGTTGGGCGTTGCTAAAACACATTTTAAATGTGCCAATAACTTAATACTATCCATTTAGAGAGAGGAAATCTCAGGTGTAAGACACAATATGCCCCCAGAGCAGGGGTGGCCAATTTGTGGCACTTCAGATGTTTGAGCCTACAATTCCCATTATTCTCCACTGCTGGCTATACTGGCAAAAGCTGGTAGAAAGCTGTAGGCTAACACATTGGGAAGGCGACAAGGCGTTCACCCCTGTTCTAGAGAAACACCCTGAGCTGCCTTGGTCCACTGATACAGAATGACCAAATGGCTGTTCAGAATTTTGATAAAAACATAGTAATGCACAAAATCATTGACAAGTTGCCTCCCTTTTTAATCTTCTCTTTGAACCAGCCTGTTTCAGCCTACCTAATACATCTGCAATCCCAATTTTGTTGGCTTCAAAGAGAAAAGACACACATCGGCTAAGAAGAAAGCTTCCCCTGTTTTCCTGCTAGGGTTCACTTCCAATTTTAAATGCTGACTTTAAATCCTGATTAATTCTAAATTACTTTGCACAGGATTTTTTTAGATGTTCCAAGTACAGTACATACATCAGTTCTCCCCTTAGATGGTGCCCCTGCAGTGTTTTGGACCACAGGTTCCCATCAGCATGAGCAACAGTTGGAGAGGTGGGGGTTGCAGTCCAATAATATGTGGATGGTGCCAGGTTGGAGATGGCTACTGTACATTGGCTGCCAATCTCTTCACCTGGGATTGTTAGAACCCTTTACCCCCAAAACCTGAAATAGCAATTTAGTTACCTTAATTTACTTCTAGCCTCAGTAAGAAAAAAAAATCACTTATCATTACTGTTTCTTTAAAGAGCGCTTGAAAAAAGAAGAAAAAACTCGTCAAGAGCTAGAAAAAGCTAAAAGGAAACTTGATGGAGAGACCACTGACCTACAGGACCAAATTGCAGAGTTGCAAGCCCAGATTGAGGAATTAAAAATCCAGCTTGCCAAAAAAGAGGAAGAGCTTCAGGCTGCCCTTGCCAGGTAAGATATGATTATTTGAGATGGCATCATTGGATGCTACTAAGAGGAGCGTTTGCTTTCCTAGGGTGGCTGATCAGTATCTGAATCAGTTGTTCTTTCATTGCAAGGTCATCATATTTTACACAGCACAGCTCTGTGCTGGGTCTTCCATCTGTATTCTTTCAGATCTTTCATCTTTCACTTCTGAAGAGTAGAGTGCAATTTTGTGTTGCAAAACTTTTTGACATAACTACTTTTTTGGATTTATGTTGGCAAAAATTGTGATTTGTAGGTTTCCACTCTGGCATAAAAAGAGTAAGAACAGTTAATTCTTACTTGCCTAAGCTCCTTCACAGCAGATATTTAGGAATTTACTTTTGCAAATATTAAATGCTTATATTTTGTAAGTTTAAAAAATTTGGCTCAAGAATGTAACTGGGGAAGATGTCACTTAGCTATTGCAGTACAACTTTATCTGAACTTAATACCCAAAAATACTACAACTTTCTTATAGCTGGAGATAACTTTCTAATGCATAAATACTGCTTCTACCCCATCATTGTTCCAAGCACTGCTGCTGTTGTATCAGGATTGGTTAAAGACCTGTATTTGGATTCAAAACAGTTCTTTGCCAACAAAAGGATACTGCTTGTTGAACAGGTGTTTCATGTCCTGTGCACCCACCTGCACTCCCATGAACCCTCCAGAACTGCTCTGGAGGATCCACTCCAGAAGCTCCATGGGGAATAGGAAAGGCCACAGAAGTCCCATTCCACTGCTGAAGTAATTCAACCTCTGGAACAGCCATTTCTGAAGAAAGAGAACTTCATATGTATCTGGTTTCTTTTTCCCTTGCTCTCTTCAACAATTCCCCAGTATCATTTCATTCACACATACTTTTTCAAGATAGTTGGCATAGTTCCTGTTGTCAGTTAAGTAGTTTTCATAGCTCTAGTTTAAAAAAATATTTAGAGTTTAGTTGCAAATATTTAAACTATCATACAGTGTCACATCTTTGGGCTCCTAAAACAAGATCTTCCTGGCTTATACTGCTGCCTTGATGTCAAACTGGAGACACATTTTCAAATAATGCATATTTCAGTGGTTTTAACTTCTCATTAAGGTGCAATTTTTGTGTGTCATGTAACTATGATATGTAAGCAAACGGTTGCATTGTTTTTGGAGAAAAGGATGTAAGTCCTACAAAAAATTGCAGGGAATGTAGTTATTGAATGGAGGAATAAATGAGTCAAACTGAAAGTTAAATAGACCTCTTAAAATATGCTCCTTTGTAATTCTGAGCATGCTCAAAACTTATTGGAGTATTGAGGTTATTGTGTTTCACATACAGTGATTTCTACAGCCTGTGGTAGTCCTCAGAATCCATAATGGGAGAGTTATTCTGAACTTTCATACCTCCAGAGAAATGTTCACATGTGTACTTTACAGCTTCAGAGCAGGGTACAAAAGGAAGGTGGAAGTACGTATAGCTTGGAATATGGAAACAGCACTGAAACCCAGTTTGACACTTCATTGTATCCTATCCACTCACCCACAACTGGGAATCTAAATAAATTAGTGCAAATTGAGTAAAATTGGACACAGCAGAGACTAGTTCCATTTTTTAACAAAGCAAGTTTCAAGCCTCACTCTTATTCTAGAACATTTGTTACGTTTCCAGAGGGGATGAAGAAGTTGTGCAAAAGAACAATGCACTAAAACTTATACGAGAATTGCAAGCTCAAATTGCAGAGCTACAAGAGGATCTTGAATCAGAAAAAGCTTCTCGCAACAAGGCAGAAAAGCAGAAGAGAGACCTGAGCGAGGAGTTGGAGGCACTGAAGACAGAGCTGGAAGATACCTTGGACACCACTGCAGCTCAACAGGAGCTCAGGTTAGTGGAACACTAGGGATGTACTAGGAACTGATTGCAATACCATTATTCTTACATATTTGCTTGTTTACTCACTAGAGTTATATCCCACCTTTTTTCTTACAACAAACTCAGAGTGCCTTACATTATTGTCCTTCTGCTCCTGATCTTATCCCCACAACAACAACCCTATGAGGTAGGTTGGGAGAGTCTGCAACTGGCCCAAAGCCACCCAGTTCTCTCCATGACTGAGCAGAGATTAGAACCCAGATTGTTTGAGTGCCAGTCCCACATTCCTAACCACTACACCTCACTGGCTCTCATCCAGATCAAGTTTACTCTTGTTAAAGTCTTAACGATATAATTCTTCCTAGAAGATGGCGTAAAGACAAAGCTGTTTAAAATTTCTGTAGGATTAGAGTGATAGCATATCTTTGCAAATTTGTTATATGGGAAAGAGTTACAAAAAGTTTTGTAGCATTTCTTACATTGCAATAATCTAATGTTTGCCTCACACTTTACTTCTGATACAGTTTTATCTCCAGCTCAGGAAGAGAATTGTGTCAGCATTTTAAATGGTGGTATTGGCCTCTCTCCCTTGTCGTGGAAAACTGTCATGGGGTGAAGGGAGTAACACATTAAATTCATTAAAACTAAACTATTCTTTTCAAACGGAATGCTTACTGCTGCTACTTAAGTGTAATGCCGGCTGTGCTTTGTGTGTGCTGTTTTGAAAATGAGCTTAAGTTATTTTGTCATGAACATTGCTAACAGAATATGAATACTATGTTTCATGAATGCAAAAAGTATAGACAAAAAGTACAGTCTAACCTTGACTTTCACCAGTTTAACCTTTGCAGATTTAATTATCTGCAAGTTCGCCATCAGTAATTAAATGGGATTTTGGGGGGCATTTTGTGGCCTGCTGCAGCACAGACAGCTGCACAGGGAATGTCCCCCTTCCCAGCCACTGCTGCAGTTCCCCTTGGTGAGGGTGGGGTGGGCACTGCTTTTGGGAGTGGGCATGTGGCCTCGTGTGAGGCTCGTGACACAGTGCAGGATGAGCTCCCCTGGAGCAGGCCAGCGCATTGGGTCTTGTTTTAAAGCTAAAGGTTATTCAGATTGCAGAAGAAGTAATTGTTAATGCATTTGCCAGTACACATATGGTCAACATTATTAAGAATTTAGGATTGAGGGAGGCCTGGAGATATTTGCATTTTTTTCAACTTTTGCAGGGTTCCTACACCTCAGTTCCTGTAAATGTGGGCAGCCAACTGTAAATGTGGCACAGATGGGGATCTGGTAGAGGCGGTCTGGGTGAAACTAAGGGGTTCTGACAGGGGGAGGGACCTGACAGTGAGGGGTGTATTATTGCCCTCCAGGTCAACTTGAGACCCTTGACGATGTCCTGACGGACCAGATTTGAAGGATATCTTGAGGGAGGAACACAGTAATTATGGGAGATTTCAGTCTCCCGGATATTACTTGGGAGAGTCACTCGGCGGTGATGGCCAGGTCATGCCGCTTCCTAGATGCTATAGAGGGTTTTTCATGCAGAGGGTCCAGGAGGCAACAAAAGGGTGATATATCCTTGACTTGGTCTTGACCAACATGGAGGAGCTGAAATGGGGTGCAGATTAGGGGAGCTCTGGATGTGAGTGATTATTCCATCCTTTGCTTTGAGATCAGGGGAATGGGGACAAGCAGCAGGTCAAGCACTAGAAGCTGGGACTTCACATGGGCCGACGTTGGTCAATTGAAGGCCTGACTGGGGAAAGTTTCCTGGGAGAGGATACTGGAAGGCAAGGGAGTTCAGGAGGGGTGGATGGCACTCAAAAGGGAGGTCTTGGAGGTGCAAGGCTTGGATATGAAAGGAGATGATAAGAGGGATTTGACTTAAGAGGAACCTCTGTAGGAAATGGACACTGGGGCAAGTAGAAAAATGGGTATATCGGGGGGAGGAGGCCTATTGCAGAAAGATTCTTTGCAAGTCTAAGGCTTATTATGAGCTGAGACTGGCAAAGAATATCAGGAGCAACAAAAATGGCTTCTATCATCATGGAAATAGCAAGAGGAAGGGGAGACAGATGGTGGGACCACTTAATAAGGAGGCAGAGGATTCAGTGACCGATGTGAGGGAACAGGCCCAGATGCTAAATGACTATTTTGCCTCTGTGTTCTCTCCAAAGCAGGACTGGGGATATCTACATGGGGGAATGGATGAGGCCAGGAATTTAGGAGCATAGATTAGAGTCACCCCCTTAAAAGTTGAGGACCTTCTCAGGACATTGGACATGACAAAGGCACCAGGCCCTAACGGGTTACACCTGTGAATACTTTGGGAGTAGGCGGGAGTTCTCTCATGTCTGGTTTTGTTTTGTTTTGTTTTGTTTTGTTTTGTTTTGTTTTGTTTTGTGGTCTTATGGAGAATGGGTGAGGTTCTAGAGGACTGGAGGGTGGTGTCAGTGGTCCCAATTTTCAGAAAGGGTAGTAGAGGGGACATGGGGAATTACAGACCAGTTAGCCTTACGTTCATTCTAGGAAAGACAGTGGAAGGGCTCATAATAGCAGGAGATCTAGTAACCCTAGAGAGGGAGGGGAGGTTGGCGGCCATGCAGCATCTGCAAAAACAGGTCCTGCCAGACGAACCTTGTGGAATTCTATGACAAGGTTTTGAGGAGGCCAGACGAAGGGGATGCAGTGGATGTGGTTTACCTGGATTTCAGGAAGGCCTTTGCCAAAGTGCCCCATGATATCCTGGTTGAGAAACTGAGGAGTATTGGGATAGACCAATGCACTGTCTGATGAATTTGGGTATGGTTGACAGACTGAAAGCAGAGGGTAACCATTAGTGGGGAATCATCAGGATGGCAGCCAGTGATGAGCTGGGTTCCCCATGGCTCTGTCCTGGGACCGATCCTGTTCAGTCTTTTCATCAATGACCTGGAAGAGGGGGTGAGCAGCCTGCTGATCAAATTTGCAGACAATACTAAAGAGGGGACAGTGGCCACAACTGAGGAACAGGTACTCCGGATCCAGAAGAATCTGGACAGACTATGGAAGTGGGCCAGGGATAACAGAATGGTGTTCAATTCAGATAACTGCAAGGAATAGGTGTCAAACGTACAGGTTAGGGGACAAATGGCTGGAGAGCAGCCCTGCAGGCTAAACATGAGTCAGTAGTGTGACGTGGTTAAGAGGACAAACGCCACCCCTGATTGCATAGCCAGAAGCATGGCTTCTAGATCGAGAGGGGTATTACTGCCACTCTATACGATTCTGGTGCGTATTGTGTTCAGTTCTGGGCCCCTCATTACACGAAGGATATAGCCAGGTTAGAGTGAGTGCAGCGTAGGGCCACAAGGATGGTGGCCGGATTGCAGGGGATGCCGTATGAGGTGAGACTGAGGGAACTGGGGCTTTTCAGCCTGGAGAAGAGGAGACTCTGAGGGGATCTGTTGGCAACATATAGGTACATGAGGGGTCTTACATGGAGGAGGGTACAGACCTGTTTTCCCCTGCAGAGGAGGGCAGGACGCATTCCAGTGGAGCCAAGCTCAGGGAACCAAGGTTCAGTTTGGATGCCAGGTAGTACTTCCCGACAGTTAGGCCCCTAGGGTATGGAATGGGTCTCCACGGGAGGTGGTTGAAGCCCCATCGGTTGGGCATGCACATGGTAGCATGTCATGAGCGAAGCTGGCTGGAGCTGGGAGTCAAACTAGATAGCGCGGGAGGCCCCATCTCACTTACTCTGTTTCTATGTTTCTAAATACAACATTGCATAAATAAAAATTCACAAAATGAAGGCAATAATGGAAGCTGAGCTTCAAATCTTGTGCTGTTTATTAGGACAAAGCGTGAGCAGGAAGTTGCTGAACTGAAGAAAGCACTTGAAGAAGAAACCAAGAATCATGAAGCCCAAATTCAGGACATTAGACAGAGACATGCAACAGCCTTGGAAGAGCTCTCAGAACAGCTTGAACAAGCCAAAAGAGTGAGTGGGAAATGAATTTGCATGTGAAAGATTTAGGGGTACTGTATGCACCATACTAAATTCTGCTGAAAAAGGCAGGATATCAATATAGAAACAACGGGTTTGTTTGTTTATTTGTACATGCATTTATAGGCTGCCTATAACTACCGAGGCTTTCCCAGGCAGCTTAAAATACATTAATGTGTTTTAATGTTAATACTGTCCTCTGATAACATAACTATGCTACTGCATATCTTCTGCTTTTGTCCAACCTTAGAACTGACATTTGTCTGGGTAAACCAATCATTTACCTCAGATAGGGCAGGTGTTACTCTTTCTAACAGACTGAGACATGCTCAGGATGAAAGCACAGTAGCATCATCCCCCTCTATAAGCCCATTTAGCATGGCTCATATTTCACACATTATGCAGCAGCCACTCCAGATTTCCTATTATGTGCACATCCTTGAGGCACTATTGGTATACAGTTAATAGTTTCTACAACTCCTTTTTTTAAAACTTTTTTTTGTGTTCGCCTGTGATTTAATTGTTAATGTTTAGGCCTCCCTACCTTGTGTAATTGGATTGTGAACTGCAGTGGCAGCTCTTACTGTAGCCTAGGTGTTTTTGAACATATCTGACATGATAGTACTAGAGAGAATACTTAATCTGCAATAATTTCTCCCTGCAAATTCTAGTAAAGATTTACAGTTGCAGTGTAATGCAATATCAAGAGTAACTGGCCTGTATATGAAAATATCATGTTGAACAGAAGTGGGTACATTAAAGTCAAGCAAAATGTGTTGCCTTAAATGAATTTAAACTTGGATCTAGCACAGAGAATTTCCCTGTAGTTAAGCACAACACTCTTACAGATGAAGTTCTGATGAACTGTGATAACTAACTTTCTGTTGCTTCTAGTTCAAGACAAATCTCGAAAAGAACAAGCAGTGTTTGGAAACGGATAACAAAGAGCTGGCTTGTGAAGTGAAAGTGTTGCAGCAGGTTAGAGCTGAGTCTGAACACAAAAGGAAGAAGCTCGATGGTCAAGTACAGGAACTGCAGGCCAAGGTCACAGAAGGAGAGAGACTGAGGACAGAGTTGTCAGAAAAAGCAAACAAGCTTCAGGTAAAGAGCTGAATTGCATTCCATGGCACAACCTAATTGACTAGGAATATTAGAAAAGATCATCATGTGCACATCTATCTGAAATGCTCATTAGCACAGATGTACATTTTTCTTATAGTGGTGAGGCATTGTCCCCAGAGTTAGGAGAATGAGAGCTGTTGGTAATATCTTATATTGTGCTATTGTGGTGTGAAAAGGCATCACAAAAATAGCATATCTTCTCTTACCACCCAGGAAGGCAGATTCATGTGCTTCGTGATCTTTAAGGAAGTTTGAGTCTTTCAGCCCCACCTCCAGTTACCTTTCGTGCCTTCACCCAAGGTAGTCTCAGCTCCCAGGGCTCTTCTTTCCTTCCGTAGATGCTTAGACTACGCTTCTCTTGATCTTTCTGTATATTTTGAGAATGTACTTTTCTGTATCCTACTTTCTTTTCACCATTCTTCTAAGCAAACAAATCTTCCCTTCTTCCCTCTCTTTATCATGTCTTGATGGGGCTAGGATAGGGAAAGATTTGGTTGCAGCAGTTGAGCTGCAAAAGAAAAGAACAAGGAAGGAAGGAAGGAAGGAAGGAAGGAAGGAAGGAAGGAACTTCAACAATGCCTTTAGGATTGTCTGCATGCACCATGTTGCACAGGCTGTCTTCAGCCTGATGTTGCCCATAGTACACAGTTTGGTTACCGACCAAACCCTTGAAGTTGCCATTCTGGGAAAAAAGGAGCATCAGCATCCACCTATTAGGAACCCAGGAGAGTTATGAAACTGTATCATTAGCAATGGCTGCTCCTTTGTGTGCCAGTAGCTTATCCAGAAGTGCAAACTCTTGGCTTCACAATGTCTAGAGCCACCCTCCAGAACACTGAATATGTAACAGGAGCTGCCATCTTACAGGCCCAGTGGGAGACAACTGGCTTGACCCATCCAGTTTTCCACACAGGGCTGGAGCACAAACTGATCTACATTTGAGGGAATGTGGGGAACATAGTGGTGGCATTACTGTAACAACAGCACCTTTTGCTGACTCGTCCCTCACCCGCTTCTTCAGCTGACTGGGAAAGACCTGTGATTTCTTCTTCAGCATAATCCGCTGTCTTAGTCCACAGCTGCCAAACCTCAAGGCCATTCCTTCCTTCCCCTTGAAAGAGCATTCTTTTTTTTTTCTTTTTTTTTGCAGAAGGTTGAGTGATGTGGGTGAGATTACTGACGTATTCCTTTAGCACCACATTTTGAGGAATTAAGGCAGATAGTAGTGACAAAAGATGAAATTCTCAATCTTATTTACAAAGTCAGCATATCACCTGGTCCTGATGGTATTCATCCTAGTTCTTCAGGATCTCAGATATGAAATTGCTGGCCTTTTTGCCAAAATACTTAATATATCCCTAAGATCAGCCTGTGTCCCAGAGAACTGGAGAATGGCCAGTGTAACTCTAATTTTTAATAGGTGATTCAAGGGAATCTGGGAAATTATGGACCAGTTAGCTTAACATTTGCTTTGGGTAAATTGGTTTAAAGTGTTATCAAAATAAGACAGCATTAGTAAGGGTATAGAGGGATAAAGCCTTGCTGAAAAAGAAACAACCTGGCTTCTGCAAAGTTCTGTCTCACTAACTTATTGGAGTAGAGAATGTGAGTAAGTATGTGAGCAGGGCAATCCAGTAGACATGGTTTACTTGAGCTTCCAAAAGACTTTTGATGAAATCCTTAAAAAAAAAAAAAAAACTCCTGAGCAAACCGGTTAAAAAACTAGATGCCATTGAGAAGTCCTCCCTGGTCATCAAATCCTCTTTTTAAAAGGAACCTTTCAGCCCTGTCTCTTCTGTTGAGCACATGTAAAATTTTGGTTTCATAGTGCATATCTATTTGGCAGAGTTCTTGAACAACTTGAAAGTATCTGTATTATTTTGCCTCTTGTAATCAGGAGGGTACTATCTAAGCAGTTCTGGTGCTGTATCCCTGTCTTGAACTGCCAATTTCCCCCATTTTTGCTGCTGAATCCTGTCTTGTACCAGACAGTCTGAGTATAAAGAGAATAATTTAAAATGCTGTTAGAGTAAAATTGTTGTGCACTAGAGTTAAATGGTGAGATACTTGACTTTAACATTATGAAAGCATCTTAGTTTCTCAGAACTATTCTTGAGGTTGCAAACCTGTTATCTTGGTTATGTATTTCAAAGTACAGTAGTACCTCAGTTCATGAACTTAATTTGTTCGACAATTCTGGTGGCAACCCGAATTGGTCATAAACCAAGTCAAATTTCCCCATAAGGTTCAATGTAAATAAGGTTAATCAATTCTGAATCATAACTTAATGTTGTACATAAAGGACGGCATATAGAAGTTTTAAATAAATAAGTAAATACATATTTTTTAAAACCACAAAAATATGAGCCACATCCCTGGACTGTGGGCCAAACTGCAGTTACCTTGCCGATCCCGGGGGTGGATGGGCCGAGGCAGAGCAGGAGCAGGGCCATGGCTCCTGTGCCTCCACCGTGGCCTTCTCAGGGCAAGCCACCACCGCTGAGTGGCCACCATGCTTCTTCCCCCTGCGGCAGGGGGAGGCGGGAGGCACCCTGCTCAGCCAGCCATTGCCCTGTCCCTCGCATCCCCTCGGCCCATGGAAAGCAGCCCTTACCTCCCCCCTTGTGACCTTTTCCTGGCTGAGGGAGCTGTCTGCCCCCCCCCCCAGCCTCCCGCTTCTGCTCCCCCTCCTGGAGCCGGGTGAGCACCTGTGAGGGGACCTTCCTCTGGCTTGGAAGTGGGGCGGTGGTGAGGAGCTGGGAAGGCCTTGACTGAGGTGAGCACACCCTCATGGCTCCCCCTCGTGGTGTGTGGGGAGAAGGTTATTGTTTGGAGTGTTCGTGCTGGGAAGATGGCCACAATCGTGGTCATCACCCGAAGCGGGTTCGAGAATGGAGGCAAAATTTTGCCAAAAATTCTGTTCACGACCCGATTTGGTCATGAACTGAGGCATTCGTGAACCGAGGTACCACTGTACAATAGAAAGACTTTAAACTCCTTGTCTCATGCTCCTTGATTTTTGATGATCAATCCCCACATAAATAGTTTAAAATTAATTGTAATTCAAAGAAAAAACACATAGTATAATTTGTAAATCCCAATGCAAGTCTTACTTAGAGTTCGTTGGCTCCTACAGAATTTATCTACTGTGGATAGTCTAGACATTGCACATATTTCTAGAAAAAATACTTTCCCCTGACAGGGAAGATGCTAATAGAGTCTTTGATTTGCAGAATGAGCTGGACAATGTTTCAAGTCTCCTGGAAGAAGCAGAGAAAAAGGGCATAAAATTTGCTAAAGATGCTGCCAGTTTGGAGTCTCAGCTACAAGATACACAGGTGTGTCTAGAATGTTAGAATGCATTTTTATTTATGTATTTACAATGTTTATATTCCATCTTTGAGTTCCATAAGGGTCCCTCAAGGTAGCTAACAACTTTTTAAAAATTGAAAGGCTAGGAATAAAATCAACAGAGAAGAACAAAAAAATTAATTCAGATGAATAGCCCAAGCAAAACAGGAATGCATTCACTGTATGAAGGAGTGAATGCTGATAAATGTGATGCTTTCAGGCCTCAATGCAGCTTTTGAGCATTATTTCTTCTCTGGTTAGAACTGAAATGCAAACCTGGAAAGTGTATGCGTGGTTTTAGAACTTCTTCCTGTCGGATTGTCAATCCCCTGTTATTTTTCTCAGCATTAAAATAGTTTCAAGCTGCATACAGATACTGGAGTGTTTCCTTCTGTTTGATCAGCCTTCACAAAATTAAAGTTTTGGCTAGCCAAGATGATTTCCATAATGCCATACACATTGCTGATACACAGATGATGTGCCTGCCTTGTCTCAGAAAGTACTGAGCAAGTGCTCGTAATTTCAAAAGCAATCATGAGACATAGCGTTCACCGTTCCTTTTGAGGAACAGCCACGGAGCAATTCCCTTTCTCCTGGGCCTTAATTCCTTACATACAGTGCCTTACAGATGTATTCAATGCAAGCCCTTTGACTTTTCCACTTTTTATTGTGTTACAACTTGCAATTGAAATGAATTTAATTGACATAGTTACGTCTTGGTACATGCAAAATGCTCAACATTATGAAGATACGAAATATTGTAATTGCAAAACAGAAGTTAAACAACACATTGGCAATTGTTGGTTGCAGAAGTATTCATCCCTTTTGCTGCAACATGCCTGAATAGGCACTACCCATTACCTCCATAAGTCACATACTGTAAGTAGTTGCATGGGATACACCTGTGTACAATTTCTATCAGATCTCTGATTGAGTAGACTTGTTTCTGGAAGGCCTCAGAGTTTATTGAAGAGTGTATTTAAAGAAACAGCTTTATGATAACCAGAGAACTATAAAAACAACTGTAGGATAAAGTTGTGCAGAAATGGGGAAATTAAGGGGGTAAAGCAGAAGAAAATAAAGGTAACTTATTTCAGAGTTGCTCTGAAGCTGGAGTATGAATTAGGATTTTAATTGCTTGTTTATGTAGAAAATAAAGGATCCAGTTTTTCCAGTTGCAATGATTTCCTCAGACACTTCGCAAAACTCCTGTAGATCGTTTTGGCATTTACACTTACATGTTGCTTTTAAGAAGCATTTGATCTTTTATGGGTAATAATAAAGTGATAGCAATGCCTGTCTTTTGCTGTAGTATATTAACAAAGAATGATGAGCTCTGGCAATTTTAAGTTGTCCTTTTATCTTTTGCATGATGGCTGCTATTTAAGTGATTAATAGCATACTGTTCTATGGTAATAACCTGCTGTGGGATATTTCCTTATTTAACAGGCAACCTTTCTAGCTTTGGTAGATTTAATGAACTGTGCTAAGATCTGAAATGTGTCCCATTATCAAGTTACACTACAATAGCTTAATGCTTACAGATCAGCCAGCACGAACTCTGTGTCCTTAATCCCATGCCATCTTTGATCAGACAAATACCCCTTTTATTAAATGTTCTCATTCTTCACTATCAGGTTAAGTTCAAATTCTATTGGGGCAAATGATAAATCATGGCTGCCTTTTTCATTCCCACAAAAGGAGCTGTTGCAAGAGGAGACTCGCCAGAAACTGAACTTGAGTAGCAGGATTCGACAGTTGGAGGAAGAGAAGAACAATCTGCAAGAACAGCAGGAAGAAGAGGAGGAAGCAAGAAAAAATCTGGAGAAACATGTGATAGCTCTGCAGGCTCAGGTGAGATGCCTTGGAATGCACAGGTGTTGTATCACTGTATGCAACATTTTATTATCAGGTAGGTTTGCCAGAGATTAGTTCTAACAGAAGGACTTTTCAAAATTTCATTGCCACATGCAAAGGTATCATATTTTATTTACCAATTGAATAGTTATACCAGCTGCCCTTTCCAGGATGAAATGCAATACAACATCTGAAGTGGGCCTAGTTTGCTTTATGACAGTATATGTGTTTGTTGGTTGTACCACTTCATTGTATAGGTGAAAATGAACTGACTGTTCTTCTATATCAGATATGTTAGTTTAAAAATAACATATATTTTAAACATATCAAAAGAAAGAGTTCTAACCTAAATGTCTCTATCGTTAACCTCAGCTGGCTGATGCTAAAAAGAAGGTAGATGATGACCTGGGGACTATTGAAGGACTGGAGGAGAATAAGAGGAAGCTGCTGAAGGATATGGAAATTCTGAGCCAACGACTAGAAGAAAAGGCCATGGCTTATGATAAATTGGAGAAGACCAAGAACCGTCTTCAACAAGAGCTGGATGACTTGATGGTGGACCTGGATCATCAGCGCCAGATTGTTTCTAACTTGGAGAAGAAGCAGAAGAAATTTGATCAGGTATGCCACCATTTAAATTTTTTTTTTGTCTTTTGCTTTCCTTGTGGCAGTGAACTATTTGCCCAGTAATAACACAGACATTTCACACAAGCCGACTTTTTAAATGCAATTCTTTGAGCTGGGTATCAGCAGGGTGGTTACCTTTCATGGTTCACCTATGATCCCTTAGCATATGTCAACTGGGTCATGGGTCAAACTCTCATCTGGCTAGTTAATGTAAGCCTTGTGGGGGATCCTAATGCTTTTTTGTGAGAGGGTATTGGGCAGAAGGAGTAAGAACTCCATCTTAGAGGTTATTGCATTTGGTGTGGTTGCCCTAAAACAAAGCACTTAACAGGCTTGCAATAATATCAAAACACCACAATAGAAACTTGAATGTGAAGAGCTTCGAATCATCATGTCTGGCCTGTTTCAACCATCTGTATGTTACAATGCTTAGATGCTGGCAGAAGAGAAGACTATAACTGCTCGTTATGCAGAAGAAAGAGACCGTGCAGAAGCTGAGGCACGAGAAAAAGAAACCAAAGCATTGTCCCTGGCACGGGCCCTGGAGGAAGCTTTGGAAGCCAAGGAAGAGTTTGAGAGGCAGAACAAGCAACTCCGGGCAGACATGGAGGACCTAATGAGTTCCAAAGACGATGTGGGCAAAAATGTGAGTTGCATCTTATATATATGGATGAGAATAATGTACATTTTTGAAGAGCTACGTATGTTAAACTGAAATTTGGAGAGTTGGAAACACAGCCTTCTAATGCTCTAAAAAGGTGTGTGCTTGGATGGTTACATTTATTATACACCATTTAAAGCACACGTGCTTGTCATCCTTGGGTTAAATTCTCATGAGTTTGTCCATCACTGTCTTTGACAAAAATTTATTTTCAAGATGAATATGCATATAGCTTCAGAATTTGTTCATTTGCAGCATTTTTCCATTTGCATGCTCTTTGAAGGTAGAATGTGGCATGAGTAATTGATGAAGCACTTACGCATCTATTTTAGGTGCGCCACATCTCCTTTGTGGGAGTTCTTATAGCTTCAGTATAATGGGACTTAGAAATTTCAGCATATAGGGATTGCATCCATGTTGTTGCATTTATCAGGATAACTATAAGGACTAGGACATCTCTTTTTCTGTGTGATTGCAGGTTCATGAGCTGGAAAAATCCAAGCGCACCTTGGAGCAGCAAGTAGAGGAGATGCGAACACAACTAGAAGAGCTAGAGGATGAGTTGCAAGCTACCGAAGATGCCAAATTGCGCCTGGAAGTGAATATGCAGGCCATGAAAGCACAGTTTGAGAGGGATCTTCAAGCAAGGGATGAGCAGAATGAAGAGAAGAAGAGACTCTTGATAAAACAGGTACAATACATAACCCAGGTTCTGGTGATTTATGTGTCCTATGAACTAGGGGTATGTAGATTTTATTAATTCTTGAAGCTAGAATGTTAGACTACCAAAATTTGGTCTGAAGCACAAGTTTTGCCACCTTTAGGCACTGATTGAAATCTGTATTTAGTCACTGCAGTTTAACTTTTCTTTCAGTACATACTAGCTGTTTGATTATTCCTTTGGAGTAGTAATAACTGAATCCTCTTTGAAACCGTATCTTGCTTTACCCGTGTTTTATAGAATGAGTAAACCAAATAATTGGGACTCTTAATTTGTATTAAATTCATAATATACTAGGATACATTTTAGTGTTTGTTGAAATACCATAGCAAATGCCTTGTAGAAAACTGTTTCAGTTTAGGCAATACACTCAATTCTTTGCTTATCTTTTTAATGTTGTGTCAAAACACATTTAAGTTTTTGCCTGCTCTTTGCTTTTTGCATAGTTGATCATGAATTACCTTTTATTGTTCCTTTGAAGAATTAATGAGATGATACAGGGCCTTATTGTCTTCATTTTGGAAACAAATTCATCATGAAGAAGAGTGCCATTTTGACCTCAGTTCAAGGATAATTATGTTTGATAGCTTTTCCTAACAACAACTCAATAGGCTGTAGTATTAGTTTGTGCACAGGAGCTGTAGATCAAAAGAGATGGAAGATCTCATTGAGAAACTGCCCATAAAATCACTGAGATGATGAAAGCATCCCTGATCTTAGCCACACCATCCCGCAGCATTTGATCTGCTTATATATCCACTGCCTGGCTTTTCATTAGGCAGAGTGTTTCTCTTGAAGAACTAATGAGGGTTGTCAAAGGGGTTTCTTTATGATCTTCTCATAAGGAAATGTGGGTCCTGTAATTCATATTGTTCAGTGTAAATGCCCTGAGTGTTCTTCCTTAGGCATCAGATGTCATTTAAAGCAGCTCCGCCAACTTGCTCCATTTTGTTAACTCTGTAGGTCCGGGAGTTGGAAGCAGAATTGGAAGATGAGAGGAAGCAGCGAGCTCTGGCTGTAGCATCGAAGAAGAAAATGGAGGCAGACCTGAAGGACCTAGAAGCTCAGATTGAGGCTGCAAACAAGGCCCGCGATGAAGCAATCAAGCAGCTGCGCAAGCTGCAGGTGTGCAGAACAAATGGGCATGAGAACTAATCACTGTAGATTATAGAAGGACTATAATGTCCTTCTCAAGCGTCCCTATCAGACTTACTTTAAATAGCAGGAAGAAAGAGACTTGGTAACATTTTAATGTGCTAAATAGATACTGTTTAATGATATTCTGGGTGCATAAACTGGATTGGCGGTGTAGTTGACTGACCAGGTTCTCCAGCTAAATCTCTTGCCTTTAAATTGCAGGCTCAAATGAAAGATTATCAGCGTGAACTAGAAGAGGCCCGGGCATCTAGAGATGAAATCTTTGCTCAGTCAAAGGAGAATGAGAAAAAGCTCAAGAGCCTTGAAGCAGAAATCCTTCAACTGCAAGAAGTAAGTTGTTGAGCTTTGTGGATGTTCGTGTTAAAAGAGGTATCAGATTGAAGTGATATACCTGTGGCAGGACCCTGGAGAAAAGAACATTTTTATATATTTGCAGTTTTGGGAGAAAGGACATTTTTTATATATTTGCACTTTTGGGAGAAAGGAAATTCTTTATATATTTGCAGTTTGGGGAAGGGTTTGTTTGTGTTTTGGTTCAGGGTGGGGGCTTTTTCTTTGTTTGTATTTGGGTGACTTGCAGAGTTTTGAACTCACTTTTTCATTTATGATGTGTTTGATTTGATGGAACCCTTTTCAAAATGCTTGCAGGATCAGGTTTTAGTGTCAAATCCCTCTAGGGCAACAGTGTAGCCTCATGATACTTGGGTTCTGGTGTATGATAGAAGCGTATAGAGCCTGGAAAGAATTGAGTAATGCTGGGTTCGGTGGTACTGGTTATAACGTCATAGCTTTTTATATCAAATTGTCTTGTTTGCTGGGACCAGTAAGTTGCCATTGAAAATCTTTTCAGGAACTTGCTGCCTCAGAGAGAGCCAGACGCCATGCAGAGCAAGAAAGGGATGAATTAGCTGATGAGATTGCCAACAGTGCCTCTGGAAAGTGAGTTATGCTAGATGGACTAACAGAATTATTTGCTGCCTGCAACACTTGCAGTGGAAGCTTTGATTTTTGTGGCAAACCTTGATTATCACTTATCCTGGCTTGATGCTCAGTGTTATTCCTCCTCTGCAGATCTGCCTTGCTTGATGAGAAACGACGCCTGGAAGCTCGAATTGCACAGCTGGAGGAGGAACTAGAGGAAGAGCAAAGCAACATGGAGCTCCTCAACGATCGTTTCCGTAAAACTACTCTGCAGGTAAACCTTTGTGTGTTACTTGAATTCTTTTGATTGCTGCTCCAAGTAAAAAAGAGACCCTTTAAACAACTGCTGTTTCTCTTTCTGAAGGTTGACACATTAAACTCTGAACTGGCTGCAGAGCGGAGTACTGCCCAGAAGAGTGAGAATGCACGTCAGCAGCTTGAACGACACAACAAAGAACTGAAAGCCAAACTACAAGAGCTGGAGGGTTCAGTAAAGTCTAAGTTCAAAGCAACCATTTCAGCACTGGAAGCAAAGAATGGGCAGCTAGAGGAGCAGCTGGAGCAGGAGGCCAAGTAAGCACAAGGCTCTCAATTAAAAGGAAATTGAATCATGATTTAATTTTGGAAATGCAGCGCTCTAGCCTGGGATTTAGAACAAATGTTCCTGAATCTCCTTTTCTGGAAATTATTAATGAGACTGGATAGTCAACCAACAAGGGACTGTAAGCCCAAGGACTGATACCCAGTACAGGTATTTGGAATGATATCGAGGTCATTTCCATTTCTATGTTGGTGTAGAGGGCATTTGGGGTGGCTTTGCCATCTCCTACTTGCTCAGGAGGCAGGAAATGCGGCAAGTAGTTCTTTAGCACTGTGTCTTCCTGGAGTAAGCCTTTCCCCAGTTTTTTCTTGGTCTTGCTCAGAAGCCACATTCAGAGACACTTTGGCCCCATCAAAACTGACATCTTTGCCTCCCTGCACCAACCTTGAGCTGCAAAACCCCAAGCTTTGCATTGGTCCAATAGCAGCAGAAGCTTGCAGCTGATACGTTCCTACATCTTCCCTCCAACCTCTGTCTCAGCAAAGGTGTTATGCAAGATTTGAAAGCAGTGGGCATTGGTCATCATCACTGCTCCATTCAGGCCAAGGATACTCTCGATCTCAGAGATAGTCCACTTGACATCAACAAAATCATAGTTCTGATGTGTAAGGCTCATTCTGCCAGCCAGATTCAGGATGGGTGCACCTTGCAGCATGGGGACAAAACAAAAGAATGTCTTAAAATGCAAATTCACAACATAATTTATAAATGCCCTTCTCTCCTCCAGGAAAGAATTATCCGCACACATCTACAAAGCCATAGTCTTTTATTAGATGGTGTAAAAGAAAAGAGAGTTTAAACCTAATTCCCAGTGGAGAAGAGCCCTAAGTTTTCTCTAAGCCATGCATCATTCAGGCACACCTTTGGAGATTTCTCTGTGGAGCACCATTATCGGCTGGCCACAGGTTCCTTTCTGAGCCAACTGCACAAAACTTTCTCAATTCTACTATAGCCTGCCTTTGAGCTCCTAAAATGTGTGATCCTTTCTTGGCAATGCTGCCAGTTCATAGGTATTAGAAATCAGCACTCCCTCCATAAAAGACAGCTGTGTATGTTCCAAAAGGACAGAATGATGGATCCTTTATTCTAAAGTTTAATTATTTCACAGATCTTGGAACAGATCTTCACATATCTTTCACAGGAATTTGATTCTTCCTTTTATCCCAAAAGATGCACCTGATACAAGTTGGCAGTGTGCAGAATTCTCGAGAAGTGTATTCAAGGCACAGCCATATTTAAGTAGCACCATCCTGGCAACAGGCTCCACGCTGGCACAGAGCTCATACATGTGATGTGCAGAAACCCCAAAGCACAACACAAAGATGCCTGCACCTACCTGTCTGAGATTTGACAGGTGTAAGGGTTTACTGTTCCTACACATACCATCCAGTTATGATCAAGAGAAGAAGTAGCCTTTTAAATAAATTTTGTATGATACTGAATGGGAGGCATAAATCCTTGGCTTTCTGAATCTCAGCTTGGATTTGGTTTCCCCTTCAAAGTGGTTAGACTTTCAGTGTGAGCCAAAGAGGGTTATTTTTGGAATGTCAAAACAAGTTTTGAGTCACATTTTGGGCTTGATGCATACCTCTGGTATTTCCCATGAAAGTGTGTAGAGGTAACCATATCCCACTGTTACTGCTGTTTCATGTCTTCTAGTTTTTCTTGAGCCTCTTCTCATGAACTATACTTACACATTCATGTAAGTGAATGGTGGCCTGTGTACACCAAATGCTTCTCAAAAAGTCTCCTTCCTCTTTTTCTTTCTTACTTGGCTGGATAGCTATGACTGTTATGTCTCCTGCCGTCGGACTGTTCATGCTTTGAAACTAGGGAGGGGCTTACTTCAGGAAAGCAAACTACTGCTAGTCACACATTTTTTTGTCTCTTGAACATGTACAAAGAGTCAAAGTCAAGCATGAATGCCTTCCACACCAACCAGAAGAAACTTTCAGGTTCACTACCAGAGTATTTTTCAGATAGAGTGATTTATTGATTTAATATTTTTTGCAGTGTGCATCCAATAACTCCAGCAGTGATATTTATTTCTTCTCTAAGTCCATGGGGGAAATAATACATTTATTTGTTCCACAGCAAGATGTATAAAGTATTTTGCCATGTTTTGCTGAACTTTGAGCTGCAACTGATATATACATGGGCTTCTCTGCACTATAGTTTAGAGGCTGGTGTCTCTTCAATATCATGCTTAGTGATTCTCCTCTGCTGAATTTCCTTAGGGAAAGGGCAGCAGCCAATAAATTAGTACGACGCACAGAGAAGAAACTGAAAGAGGTATTCATGCAGGTGGAGGATGAGCGCCGGCATGCAGACCAGTACAAGGAACAGGTAAGGAACTGATTGCTCTACGTAGCAGTTTGGCTGTCTTAGCTATGGAAATCTTGGTGCTGGCTGGCTAACTAGTAACCACAACAGTTAGTGCCTCACGTTAGGTGTCTCAGATAGGCACAAAAGGATGCTCAGTCAGTTGTTCCAGATTGCATCTCTTTAGAAAGCTTGGAAAGCACTTCTGCATCAGTGTCAGTTGGGTGGACGTTGCAGCTGTTCTTCGTGGTCTCTGAGCATCATACACACGAGCTCTGTGCCTGTATGGAGCTTGTGTGAATGCACAGATGACCACTCAAAGAATGACAGTTACGGGAAAGCAACCTGCCTTTCTGCTGCTCTGAGTTGCACTTAATTGTAACTAGTGTCAAGGGAGCTTGTGCAAGCCACCCCTCTTCACTCCTGGACGCTGCTGAAACTGCTGTTTCTCTGGTCCACCAGTTGAAAACCACTGGGATGTAGGGGCAGATGAGCATTCTGAATGAAGGAGGGCATTTCTGGAATATGCAGCTCCATCCATCCACTCTCTGAAGCAGGGCAGTTTTTTCCTTCTTATTTAAGAACCCAACTGAAGTGTTGTCCTTTTCTCTGCTGAGCACACAGCACCATTAGCCAGCATAGCCACCATGAGTTGTCTCGTGAAAATGGACAAACCTGTATCTTGTCTGACAGACATGCCTCAGTGGATGCAGGGCAAAAGGTTGCTTCTCCCAATCTTGAAGAGGGAATGCATCCTGCATTCCCTAGAAATAGCTGAGAATGAACAAAGACCCTATTCTTAACTGCTGTATTTTACGGATGTCTCCTTATTGGTGCTTGTTTCTGATGTTGATCGCCAGATGGAAAAGGCCAATGCTAGGATGAAGCAGCTAAAACGCCAGCTGGAAGAGGCAGAGGAGGAGGCTACACGTGCTAATGCCTCACGCCGTAAGCTCCAGCGTGAGCTGGATGATGCCACTGAAGCTAACGAGGGTCTTAGCAGGGAGGTCAGCACTCTGAAAAACAGGCTAAGGTGAGTAATGAGGAGGGGAGGCGGCAGGGGGAGCGTTAGTAGGTGCCACCAGTGCTTCCAGAACAGTGCAGGTGTGATGATAAGGGATTCATTTGGTCTCCACGTCCATGTCCTCTCTGCACAACTCTGGCCCAGGTTCCTGATGACTTGCCTGATGCGGCCCAGTGCTGCAGAGCAACCAAGTGGAGCAGCACACCCCCGGGGGCAGGTCACTAGCTTGTGCTGTTGTATATGCTGTCCAAGAGTGAGCGCCTTATTGAAGTGGACACTTCTTTGCTGTCTCGCCCACTGGCATCCTGAGTTGTAACCATGTACGGATCAGCCAGTTGTAGGTTCTGATACATACCTGGTTCTTTTTTTATTGAAGTGTTGTGTTCCTCATTTATGAACACTCCAGAGAAGGGGCGGGGGAAGCCTGGTGCACGGTGGGTGGGTGGATTTCACTAACATCCCCGATAGCTTTCTTTGTGGATCAGCTGAATGTGTGCTCCAGGAGTCATTTCTTACCTGCTCTTCCAGGAGGGGTGGACCAATCACCTTTTCATCCAGCCGATCTGGGAGGCGCCAACTGCACATTGAAGGTGCTTCCTTGGAGCTTTCAGATGATGATGCTGAGAGTAAGGGCAGTGATATCAATGAGCCTCAAACTGCCCAAGCAGAGTAGAAATGCCACACCGTATTGTACAGCCAGCATCCTCGCCAAGGGACTTTCCCCCCTGTGCATTTGGAAGAGGAAGACGACAACCTCATTGGCCACCAAATTGCCTTGTGGCCCTAGATTTGCTTTTAGCAAAACTGGCACAGTGCTAGGTCATGCATAGCAAGTCAGTGACAGCATCCTGCTGTTTGGCATTGCCGTGTTGTAACCTGCTTTGAATATAGGTACCACTGCTTCTTATGCGTATTAAAATGTCTCTGTTCAGTGCTTTCTGTTTCAAAGTATCCATTGTAAAGCCATTTCCTAAGGCGCCGCGCGACTGACGGTGCTCCTTCTGTTCCTTCTGAAATATCATTCCCAGGCAGCTGGCTCCGCCTTTTTCTATGCATGCTTAGTTGTACAGCAGTGGCACTCCATTTCTTCCGGTCTTGTCAGTCCTGCTCTGCAAAACCTTATGGTGCCCTCTTCCTGTTATTCTATGATGGACTTAAAATCAACACATTGACTGTGAAAATGTCCAGTGGGGCTTCAGGGGGGAACCTAAAATTAAGAGTAGCATCATTACCAGTTTCTGAAGCCCATATGTATGCTAATTAACGAGCACTTGTTTCCAGACCTGCTTACACCTGCATCCTGACAGAGAGGCCAATTTCTGCCTATTCATACAGTGCAAGTTGGACATTAGATTGCTTCCCTCCCCAGCAACTGTTTTGCTGCTAAAGTTCTGGGTGGGGGCAGGAGTACTGAAGCTTTTGCCAGCCTCCCTGGTGCCCGTCAGTGTGTCTGCCAGAGGAGAGCATATGGAGACTGCCTGTAAGTGGACATGCCAGTGGAGCTACCCTCTTCCTTCTTCTCACTTTCATTTGGACAGTGTTGACTGCACCTAGCTAGTATCCTTTTGTTTCATAGCCGAGAACTGACATTTACAGAAAGTGCCTTAGACACTACAGTACTAAGACAACGTTACATATATGATTTGCCTATAACAATGATTTAATGTATTAATTTTTGTTCACCATATCATGTTACAGCTCTTCTAGTCCAAGTGGTATTATTGCTATTCAGTGATAAGGATGAATCAGTGTTTACTATGGAATCTTGATCTCTTGCAACATGCTTGAAAAAAATATTTTTCATTGGTTGAAAGCTTTAACATACATTACAAAGCTTTTGTTTTTGTGCATTTGGGTATTACTCATAACTGGCTGTTGACCACCAGACATCTGACTGCAAATACCTTGTTTCTTTGTATTCCCATATTTCTAGACAATGATTTTTGTAAGACAATAAATTTATTCATTCTAGAGACTCATTAATGCTTGGGCTATTTACTTGAGTGGAGATGTTTTCGCACTTCTAGACTCTCAAGATATAAATTGGTACATGTCCTAGTTCGTGCTTAATTTCATGGGATTCAGCCCTTCTCTGAAGACAGATTGAAGAGCTACAGGAAGAGTTCATCAGGAGTGAATTGCCCTTGAATCCTATTGTCCAAGTGAAAGGCATTTAATTATTTCAGTAATTCATGTTCTATCCTGCCTCAGGCTCCCTGAACGATTAAAAAGTTCCAGGATTCAGTCATCTTAAAATCTGTATATGTAAAATGGATCTCCAAATATAAGACTTAAGTGCAATGTAAAATTGCACCCCCACCAGTTACTATCCGCTGAAGTGTCTTAGAGACATGTTTGATTTAGGGTGACTTAGGACCAAAAGGAAGGAATAGCATCTTGTTGGCTGTACAAGATGCCTTGAATACAGTACCAACAGCTTTCTGTTGTAGGACCTGTAACTAACGTGTGATGCTTCTGATCATCCATCCACCCCCCTCTACACAATGCTCTAGTCATGCTTTTACTCCTACACACACTGCACATTCCGTTGCTCCTGGGCATATGCCATCCTTGTTGGGATTTCCCTCCTTATAATGCCTTCTCTTGTGTTTTGTTTTCACAAACCTTCAGCTTTCTTCAAGACTACCAGCATCTCTCTCTCGTATGTATGGATGGTGCTGTTTTGACCAAACAAAGAGTACCTTACAGAAAATGAATTGGCTACTAGTGTATAGGTTGTTTTCCTTAAGAACAATTTACACTGAATATAATGGGTGAAAACATTTAGAGTCAGTAAAATACAACTTTCTCTGCTTGTTATATTCCCGTTGACAACTTAGGATATATAACTACAGACTTGTTTCACTGTTGGAGCAGTACACAATGAAATTGCTAATAGCTTTATATTTGAAAGAGTTAGTGTAATATAGGCATAGTGCACTTTGGAATATTTGTGTGGCGGGGAGGGTCCTGTTACAGCATGGTGCAGTCCCATTAAGAAAATGGCTTATACTGGTGCACCAATTATCAGCTGCCTCAGAAAAGCTCTTTATATAGATCAGTTGGGGAAATAACTTGCCAGAAAAGTCAATGTAATAGCAATTCAGGGGCAAAAGAGGGCAGCATTTGTTTAACTTGTATTAGCTTGATTTAACTTCTTCAAAAAGGCATGTTCAATATCACATAATTTCATAGAAGCTGTTTCATAGCAGCTTTGCTTAGGATTTCCAGAAAATTTCATAAAATTTGAGTAGAACAGTTTCTAACAGATGGAGTTCTGTTAAATGTGTCTATTAGTTGTGGTAGAATTTATTGCATGGCAATTTCTATGACTTGTAACCACTTCCAGAGCACATTTTCTCCACAACTCTGTGCACTGGCTATGGGATTATGTGGAATAACAAGGCTCATTTAACTACAGACACTCTGTGATACATTAATTAATGCCGCTGTTCAGACAGATTCAACTTGCATATGGCAAACAACTGGGTCTTACCATTGTGCAGCTTAAAACTCACATTAGAAATCTAAAGCTGTAGAGGTGATTTTACAGTGAATAGCTGGGCAGCAGTATTTACAAAAGCCGAGCAAGGCTGTCAAGGGCAGGACATATTGGAAGGTAACCCCTCATAAATTCACCTTAAGCCAGAGCCAACTTGATTGCACGTTAACAGTAACAGCTGGGCAGAAGTCTGCTTCCCTTCATAGTGTTCCCCACAGAAAAGGTATTCAGTCATTCAGTTTTTACATAGAGGTCAATTTCCAAACCAGAATTACATTTCCATTTTATTCTCCCACCATATTTCAAGCCTGATGTTCAGTATAGTTCAGTTTAGGCAAGATGCAGTTGAAGCACCAGCCTGCAGAGTGCAAACCAGTAAGCACCAGTATGATGCTTTTTTTCTGCAAGTGTTTCTTCAATCGTAAGTTATTTTGTATTTACAGGAAGGAGGCAGATATACTTCAGTGTTTCGTAAGAAAAGACCTAGACAATATTTCCCAACACCATCTTCTAGCTTTATTGGGTTGAGGAGCAGGGTGAAGGTGCAGACTATTCAGGGTAAAGGAAACTTACGACTTTAGTATAAGAGCACCTACCCAAGCAATCAAGACTTTGGTTCTTCCCACGTTGTGCTAGTTCAGAAAACTAGGAATGACAGGCACTATTACCCTATTCTATTATGGATCTAGGCCAGTAGGACAGCTTTGCATGCACACTGACTTGAGGAATTGTCAAAAACCGGTGTAGAAAGCTAGTTGTGCTTTCGTAGCCACTAGCTGACCTTGTAAGTGCAATAAGGATGGTGGACTGGTCAGTTATTGCTGAGACTTTCTTCAGTTTATGCAGCTATACCACCCAGTCTTCTCTTCAGCTACGATTCTGAAGGTGAGCAAATAGCACTACACTCATACTCTCTGGAAGATGATGGTGGATGTTACACATTTTTACTCAAAGTTCTTGCAAAAAGGTTTCAACTGCTGCTGAAACTTTTTACAAACCAGCGTACAAACTTCTTTGATCCTCTGCTCAGTAAAGCATGAAATGGACAGGTGACCCCAGGAGAAAGCTGTTTCATAGAAGCTGAGAAGAGCAGTTGCATCTAAGTCTTTCTAGCAGAACCTGACTGCTCTAATAATCCAAACACATTCACATACTAGAAATTGAACTCTTTTCCCCCATCTGCCACTAGTATCGTCAACAGAACTTTTTTGGTTGTCTTCACAATCATTTCCATATTTATCCTGTACTAGCAGCAAGTCACGTCTGCAGGAGAAAACATGACATTCCCCTTCATAATGAGAAGAGTCAAATCCAGGTTTCCAAAGCCACCCAAACAGGTCTGCTTCCTATTTGCAACAATATGGCCAACTGGGGCAGCATAAACATTGGAATAATACATACATGTTCATCAGCAAAACACAGGTGCAAAGTGGACTCTTCTTTTTGCAATGATACCTCTATGCCACTGATATACTAGGAATCAAACCACACAACCACATAGAAAGCAAAGGCAGAAGCATCTTTTCTGCAAAAGCCAACATGTCCACATTAAAAGATCTTTATTTTTGGACCATCTCTTCTGTTAAACCACAGGATGGTAGTCACCACAGAAATCTGACACACTGTTCTAGGGAAAACATGCCTCAGAGATTCTGAATAAATAAAGCTACAAAGCCCAAGTTATATACAAATATCTTAGGCAAAGATATTATGTTTACAAACCTATGTACAGTAAAACAAATGTAAACAGTCAATGCAGCAAGGACACACAAGGGCTGACAAAATCCAAACTGTGAGTGGCCATTTACCCCTAGCTTGCCCTGGCTTTGATTCCCTTCTCCTTCCCTTGTTCCTCTTAGACTGTTCCCACTAGTTAGAGCCCCCAACCACAGAGCTTTCTTGAAATAAAATAGGCAATGCCAGCTGTATAAGATGTAGCTGACAGGAAAGGAATTGCTTAACGAGAGGGGGCCTCCATTTTAAAAACAACCCACTTTGGTGAACAGAAACGTATTTGCACAACACATACATTGCTTGTGCTCCGTGTGAGGAGATGCCACATCTAGATATTTTCTATGGCCCAGATCTTTAGCAGGAGTGCTGTTTCAGTTACTAAGACCCCTCACAGTTTCACTGGGAGTGTGGAAGATCCGCACAGGTTCATCCTGCATCCCAAGTCCATCCGCTTACTAGAGAAGTTACAGGCCCTCCCTAACCTTCCCTGAACACAGATTTACTCATCCAGAAAAGAGAAACTACAAAGATCTTGTGTACCTATGTGCAAGGTTTGGACAAAGGGGTAGCAGTGTGAAGAAGTGAGGAAGTTCCTAAGGGGTCATCCAGCATCAGTGTGGGCAAATTTAGCCAAGGAACAAAATTGGGGCAAGGACAGAGAAGAGAAGGAAGGTGATTTGGGCAAGTGTAACTCCAGCATCCTGTGAAACAGACATCAGCGGTGACCATGTTAAGGAACGTCCACGATGCAAATAGAAGAAAATAGACTGTATTGATATAAGGAGTGCTGTGTGTGTGGGAGGGGGTGCAGCTCTGTGCAGTTACTGGGTGCTGCAGCACCCACAGATTCAGCAGGGGGCACCAACGGAAAAGGATCACAAGCAGCTCTTTTCTTGTTCCTTCAAGAACTAATCTCAAGTCCCATCATGGCCTTGCAGCCCAATTCATACACTCAGAGGGAGCATCCCTGGTGCTGAAGAAGGTCTGGATGCTCCTAGGCCGGGTGGTGGACCTTGGTCAAAGCCATTGACTGCCCTATGGAACAATCAGAGAAAGTGATGGTTAGAAGTAGTACCAAAACTGGGTGCAAAACTGAACCCAAACTCATAAGAACTAAGTTCCCACAAAGGGAAATACTGTGGTAACACTTAAGGAAGACATGCTCAATGTGACCAGCTCAATTGGGGAAATATAAATAGTGTTAATCATATCCAGGTTTTAATTTTATAACTACTGGGTTAATTGAGTAAGAGGAAACTTGGCCTTTTCACTGTCACCAGTTGACAAGATTGTCTTCTAATCCACAGATATGCCAAATACATTAGTCCCATACAGTGGATTACTTCAGCATTAATAAAATCCTAGCAGTAACCCCCCCCCCCCCCCAAATACACATTCCACCTTGCTCATTTCTTAGAAATCCTCCGGGAAGACACAAGATCTAACCAAGGAACAGTCAACCCAGAGCTCACTTGCTCCTTGCCTAAACCAGGCCCCATTTCCATCGCTTTGCCTCTTAGAGCCAGTCTCTATTTGATAATTGGCAAAAGTAAGCTGGACATAATAGTTGTCATATGTGCCATACCAAATCTGCATAGGAACATGGCAACCTTTTCTGCTGCACCTCAGAATCAAAGTGAACTTGAATTACAGAAGGACCTCAGGGCTTCACAGAAACACTGACTCTGCTTATATGTGTGGAACCACTGGCCTCCACTGTGGAAAGGCAAGCAGTAACAGGGCACAACAAGGAAAGTGAGGTTGCTTACCTGTGACTGTCACTCTCTGAGTAGTCATCCGTGCCCTCACACATGCATGAAGCCCATTTTAATAGGGAGGATTCTTTAATTCTCAGATTATCCTTAACACACAGGCTGTTCTTCATGGTCTCTGTGCATCACACATATGGGCTCTGGGCATGCATGGACCCTGCTTTGGGAAGATTCTATAGCAAAAAGTTATTTGGTGCGACCCCTTCCCTCGGCCTCACCCAAGTATGAGGGGTTTCTGCCCAATCCTCAGTTCAAAGGACACAAGACCAACATGTCAGAGGAGCGGGGACCTTGGGCCCACCTGGATCAGGTATGGGCAGTTGGGCCTTCAGAGATCTTGCCTTCTGAGATGGAGCTGATCATGGGGGTCTTGTGAGTCAGTACCGAAGGGCTGGATCACAGTGGCCTTGGTACCAGTGTGGCCAGGTCTCAGTGCACTTTTCTGTCCCTTGGTCTTGGCTTGGCCTGCACCGTATTTGCCACTCTAGCCTTCTTGGCCAGTTTCTTAGCTTTATTTTCATGGATTGGTGCAGGGTAGGTAGGACATCCATGGTAGCTGCTGTGACTGTAGCCAAGGTGGGTGAAGCAAGTGGGGGTGCCAGGGTCTCTGAGATGGAGGGGTGATCAGTGGCTGTGCAGTGTCAACACCGTGGAGGGCCTTGCTCTATAGCTCAGCTCTGAAGCAGTCGAATTAGAACTGAAAACTGGGTGGGAACCTCTCCCTCATGCAAGGCTGGGGGAGGGGTTCCCGCCAAATAAATCTTAGCTGTAGAATCTTCCCAAAATAGGCTCCACACATGTGCAGAGCCCATTCGTGTGATGCGCAGAGACCAGAGGAACAACCTGGGTGTTGAGGATAATCTGAGAATTAAAGAACCCTCCATATTGAAAAATGGCAGCCAACATAATTCTTTCAGCTGAGTGGCAAGGTTGTGACACGCAAACTTGCACACTCAGTTCTTTCACACTGACCTTGTAAATTATGGCACAATGCAAATGTTGGGAATGGTGACACTGGGCATTCCTAAAATTCAATATTTTAAAAATTCTAAAACAGAAAGTTTGACAAGCATTACTTGGCTTGGTAAATCTACTTATTCATGGACTTTCCTCTGTTTTTTCTATTAGTTGGAATTCCTCTAGGTTTTTTCTTCAGTGGGGCAGAGATAAAGAAGCATCTGTGTGATGACAACAGACAGAAAGCAACGCTGTGATGACATACTGGGGTCCACTAGGAAGGATGCAGAGGCAAGCAACAAAGCAAGTCAGGGCTTAGCCATTACATGCCCCATCCAGATCCTATCTGGTCAGCACAAACTGCTTTTGTATTGAAGATGTTTCTGACTACCTGGCGCAGATTCTTTTTATAAACACTAGAATCTGGATTCCAAAGCTGCAGCATGATGATGTTATGCTTAGTTCTGGACTATCAAATGTACACACAGGTGCAATGGGTTTGTGATGCACACAGACACTGTAGAGAAGAATAACTCCTACAGAACCTGGAACTTGATAACCCATATTCCCAAAATCCCTCACATTGTATTATCCTCAAAAGTTCTCACAATTTTCTGGGGATCTTTGCAGTTTACAAAGGTTTAGGAGATTTTGAAACAAAACAATACTGACTTGGCCTGATGCTGAAATAACATCTTGTTGCTAAAATGAACACTGCTAAAGAGTTCTTTTTCAAACTTTCTGCCATTCACATGACTGGTTCCAGGCTGAATAGAGGCTATTTCTGTCCACAATGCAGTTGGAGGCATCCCAAACAAGAAAATTCATTTGGCACTGAACAGAAGAAAATCCGTACAGGCAGAATATCTTGGCCTGTACTGCTTTAGATTCCAGTTCAGACTCTAGGAAGCATCTAATGGATTCCTGGGGCCACTAGAATGGGATAAGTAACGGTGAGGCAAGCCTCCTATCAGACAAGAAACGTTACTAGTCCCTCGCTTATTGATAGCCCTGAGACAACTAGGCTGGCTGGCTGGCTTATTCTTTCTGCTGGGTAACTACTGGCCTAGCCCTTCTAGAACTGAGGCAAAAACCACCCAAATTCAAGCCATCTACTCATACAACAGCACACCAGCCACAGCTGCTAACTGCTGGAATCAGTCATTTCTAGCAGACCTAAGTTGCTGGTGTCCTTCTGCCTTCCTGTTGTCACAGGACCCTTCATCAATATGGGGAGATAAAATATCTTTCAGGCTGTCGTTTGTAGCATACCTCCTTTCACTTAAGAAGTGAAGATGCTTCTTTTGTCAGGACAAAAGAAAGCATGGGCATTGAGCGGAAATTGAAAAGGAACTCATGTATTGTGTTCTTTTACAGTGAGTAAAATGCTCTGAAGTATTGTTTTAGACTATACTCAACATACTTTGTAGACACAACTCCCAAAGCCTACTTCAGATTCCTTCCTTCCAGAAAGCAATCGGCTAAGTAATGTGTGTGCCAAATAAAGAAACAAATCCACAAGCCAATAAATGCAAAGGAGTGCTAACAAGAAAACAATCCAACATGCAAAGGAGTAGAAAAGTGTGCTGTAATCATGGAACCTTCAGTATGGGGGAAAAATAATGAAGATGCAGAATTGAACTCTACTGACCCTCAGAAATGATTCTCTGTGTAGTCTTTTCAAGAATATATTGTTCAAATTTGCTTTATCTGATATATAGAATTTTTATCTTACCTTTCAAAATAGTCTGTTACATAACCCTACAGTATACCTGATGATGACTCAAGTTCATTATTAGAATGTAATGCATTATAAAATTAACTCAATAGCCACAGTTATGGATGGTCCTAAATATTGATCCATTAAGCTTCTGACATTCTATTTTATTTTTAAAGAAATGTAAACAGTTTCAAAGGCATAATTGCTTGTGATGTGTTTATTCACCCCACTATCATCCCATGGTGCTACAAGTGTTTCATACCATTTTTGGATAGTACTGACTGTGAAAAGGAAGCTGTTTCAAAGCCCAAATAATAAATACTTCCTTTTGTTTATTACACTGTTGATAATTTCTGTTTTAAATTTGGGCCTATTTTATCAACTGCCAGAATATGCTTAAATATCCTAAGAATAAGTAGTGTGCTGTTCAATTTCTGGTATCTTTGTAATTATTGCTTGAGTACAACTGACATAGCTCAGGCACTTATATCTTTAAACATCATTAATATATCATAGTACTAAGTGCTAAATATAAAATGATGTTCTATTATTAAAGTAACTTTTAAACTGCTAAAATTCTAAGTGCTTAATTTTGTTTCCAAATTTCCTTTCTTCCAGAAAAATGGAGGCGGCAAAACAGTTTATGTCTCCTATTCCACCTCCTCATAACAACTCTCAACCTAGCACACACTTCTGTTCCAACACACAAATATGAGACTGAAATGACATGCATGAAGAGGACAGAGTCCAACAGAAGACTGGCAGTCTTGTTACATGAAGCCCATAAAACTAGTTACGTGGCACAGAACAATTCAAAGAATAGCCACAAGGTTAGCATATCAGTCCCATAACCATATGGACCACACACACTCAACCACAAGTGTCAAGGAAGGTCATCACACCCAAAAGTTGCAGTTACCCATGAAATATGCAGGGAATCTGACCTATCCAGAAAGGAGAGAATGAAACAATTCATATGAAAACACAAATTGCACCAGAAGCATTTTTGGAAGGAAAAAAATTAAGCTGAAGCTACCAGTGATTTCTTAGGCCCAATTTTGGAACCTGTCCTTAAATGCAAAGGGAGAACCTGCTTTCCAAACTCTAGCAAACAGCACAACAACAGCAAAGTTAGACTTAAGCAGAATCAATCCAATTTATAACCTATATGTTTACCTTACCATGGAAACATACAAAAGTCTTTCAATTGACACAGGACAGGGTCTGTACCTGCACATTTGTGTTCATGTTTATTGTATTTAGTTCTGGTACCAAAGTCACTGGAGGCAGATTTTTAGCAGTAGCTAATACAATGTCATCTAGACAGTGGTGTTTAGAATTTCAGAAAGTGGTAAGTTAATGCCAAGTTAATGCAAGGTATAAGACAGACTCATGCAATTCTCCCTTGGACTACGATCCAAAGCATGCTTCACTGATGGCACTGTCATTCTGCAAGAGAACAGTGTTCATTCAAATTTGTTTTGAGCGGCACTCAAAGCATCCAAATTGTATTTTTCTGGCAAGGTCATTTAAAGAATGAGCTTTAAAAAGACTTTTCATGGTGTCATCTCAAGTCACTGCCCATTCATCCACAGGTGAAGCTCTCAACCTTGAAAGACATCACCTCACTGAACAATTTTACTATCAGATCCAGCCCAAACTACCAACTCCATCTACTTTTTCTTGCGTCCAAGCTTCAACAATAATGACATCATGCTGGCTTCAAAAAACTTCCTGCACAAGCAATACTTAATTGTTTTTGTGACTCAGCAGTACAGTAACCTTCCCACCACACCAATTTGGTGGCCAGTCAACTCTAACGCACCTTACAGAGCCAACAGTTCATACAGTGCAACCAGCAGAACAGCAGCAAAACCAGCAGTGCAGCAACAGGCAAGTTACCTCAATCAGTCCCACCACCCTACCATAGGCTGTTCATAAGGCAGCGGCAGCAGCAGACTGGGTTGGGTCCACAAGCATACGTGGTTGTTTCAGGATCCAGCGACAATTGGGGGCAGGGAGAAGACTACAGGGACTACAGAGAGAGAGAGAGAGAAAGGGGAGGACAAGAAGAAAGAGCATGCCTGAGTAGCACCAACCAGCATGGCAATGAGGTGATGGTAGTCAATTCACACTTTGGCCCTCAGCTCTACAAAAATCGTTTCTAGCTGGCCTTAAAGGTGAGGAAAGAGAAAGGGGGGTGGGGGTGGGGGGATACAGCATGGGAAGAGGAACACAATGCAAGGCCACTGAATGTGAACACCAGACCAAAGGTAGAAGTAACTGATAAAGATGTGGATTTTGATGCTTATCTGCAAGCTTCTGAGTCACTTAAATCGTTTATGTCTTTGTGGCTCAAGTCTAGATAGCATATATGTTTGTTTTACAGGATTTTATTCCCCAGACATACTGCCCAGCTTAGGCAGTATGTAATAGATCTCTGATAGTCACACTAGGGCACAGAAAGGTGGCAGAGACCCCCTGAACTTTGCCTATGAGGAGGACTGCAGATATTTGCTACTATTTAAACATCTAATTTGCTGTGTGTGTGCTAGAACCTCTTGTAATGTACATTAAACAGAATACAAGTGGAAGGAGAGGTCGAGCACTGACAAATGAATAATGAGGATCACATAGAAGGAAGCCTGATGATTGCAGTAGTTCAGGCCAAGACAGTGGGACAAATTTGGGGCAAGCTTTGATGAAGCTGGGTCTTAGGAAGGAATCTGGGGGTCCAAAGACAAGCCAATTCAAAGGCAGGAATCAGCACAGGGAAAAGCTGAAAAAAACAAAAGACAAACAGAGCCAGCATAATGCAAGCTTATGAAACAGAGCACACAAACTATGTGATGGAAGGATGTATTACAGCAACAGAAGGGCACTCTAAAATATACACAAGACATGAATACTTTCAGTGGATCAAAAGCACTTTGCATGACACCTTGCTAGGAAGCAGCTATCATGGAAACCTGACTAAGAGTGACCTTTCCTACCTTACAATCTGCTTATTGTTCACAACATAACTCAAGATGGCAAGCGGGGGTGTTAAGAAGCTTGTCTTGGGATTTGAGACCATGAGCAAAGCAGTCATGCTACTTTCCTTCTACTGCAGTGCTGGATTGCAAACCACAGGCTGATATCCACACTGTTACTAAGTGCGCTTGCAAGTAATTTCCTATCCTAACCATGTGCAAAATGCCAGGATAGTTTAGTCTGCAGATTTAGTCTGCAGGTTATAAAGAAAACAGCAACCAGCCAGGCACAAAAGGTAGCTAATAGAGGTTCTTCACAACAATTTTGAAGAATAAGGGCCTGTCTTTGAAAACTGTCCCAAAAGTTAACTGGTTCAAAACACAGATGTTGGCTGCACATAGCACAAACATTCCAATAACCTCCCTGATTGACTCTCAGTTCATTCCCAGGGCAAACTGAAAATGCTTTTTTAACATTTAAAGCCAGAAACATAGCCCAAGTTCCTGTAAGGACCAACTTAAGGTCTTTAAGATAGTGTGTGCCCAAACCAATGCACTTATGGTAGGGAGATGGTGTGGGTCAGGATCTTCTTTGTGGCAGTTCTGGTGTCCCCTCACTGGAGCACTCAACCTTGCTCCATGCTGACTGGCTTTCAGATGACAGGCCAACACAGTCCTCTTCTGGTGGGCTTTTCTGTTGTCCCAAGTTAGCATCTTTTCTTTTTTCTGCTGTTTTGCTTAATGGTGCTGCTAATTAGTATTTCTATGATGTCTGGGTATTATTTCACACTGGGGAAGGAGGCAATGCTATAAATAGGTTACAAACTAAGTATCAACATGAAAGGCAAAAGTGCAGAAAAGAGTTTAGGACCATGGCTGACAATATATGACACAGTACCTTTCAAGTACAGAAGCCATTAACTGATAGCAGTTGAAGTCCCAGTTGTTCTTCATTTACAAGTCTTGTTTTACTCTTATGAGGAAACCAAAGCATGAAATGCCCAATGCCAAGTGCTTCTAATTTCATGCCCTTCTTACTTTAAGTGATGTATGTATGATAGGAACACTTTCCCTACTCTAGCTTAATAGTTACAAAGACACGCTATAATTTGCTTTGAATTGTCATGCCAGCTTCCTAGCACTACTTCCAAACTGGAGAATACAAAAGTCTAGGTTCCCATCCTTAGAAGGGAACAAAGTATTCTGTTCTCTGGCTTAATGGAGGTGTGAAGATAATGTGCTTCCCAGGGACTATATTCTACATCCACAAGATAGAAGTCCAGGAACCAAAAGGTAAAAATATTTTGCCTACTAGAATGCAACCCAAAAAAACTCGCAAGCTTAACTTAAACTTACGTTTTGTCGTAGAATGCTGTATGCCCTGAATGACAGAATTTCATGCCATTGCTGTTGATCATGCTGCTGTTTATGTTCCCTGAAACGTAAGATTTCCGTGATGCCTGGTCCTTTGCAAAGTTTCTACAAGCAGCTAATTTGGATTCCAAGGCCTGAGAAAGGAGTGAAAAATAGACCTGTTTATTAAACGTAATACACTCTGACAAAAGAATAGAGAAAACCAATTCACATGAGCAGAGTCAGCAAAATAAAAGGCCTGGAAGATGACTCAGGACCAGATTATGTGCACTTAAACATGACCATTGAATATATCACACACTGCATCTATAACCCTCCTGTATTCCTTCTGCAAAAACTCAAGGCAGCCTAAAGGTTCTATTCAACTCTATCTTATCCTCACAACAACCCTGTGAGGTAGATTAGACTGAGAATTCTACTGGCCCAAAATCAGCCAGTATGCTTCATGGCTGAGTTGAAACTTAAACTTGGATGTCCCAAGTACCACTCAATTCTAACCATTACTTATCACTACCTCTTATGTCTTTAAGTTAGAGCTACTTAAGTAAGAATACGAACTTGTTTTCCAAATACAATGACAGACCATATTTCTGCAACACAAAAATTCCCTGATTGGCAAGCAGCTAGTCACTCACTTGCCCTTCAAAACCTTTAGAACATTGGGGTTTGCAATCCTAACATTTTAACAAAACAGTCTGCTAAAATGGGAAGCAGTCCTACAAGTATTTGTTGCATGAGAGGTGGAAATACTGAAAATTTTTGTAAGTACCAACAACATGGCAGCTGGAAAACAGACTTGAGATTCTTCTCAGTTCATTTTCTTCATGGCTTAGTGAAGCAGAATGATTCTCCAATGTGCTGAGACCTTTATCAAGAATGGCCCATCCACTCTTGCTTCTATTAATGTCACCATAAAGCACAGATCTTTATTTGTGTCAAAATTTGCATAAACTTAAGATTCTCAAGATGCTAAATTCCTCAGAGAGGAAAGGCTCCTAGAATTCCATGTTTCATCTCTTTACATAAGGTCACAGAAGCACTAACTTTTGTATACATACATTGGTTTTGTAGACAGTTCATTTCATGCACATATATACCTCATTTATTCCTAGGCAATATATCCTGTGTGGCCCTACATATCTGTCACGCACACACACACACACTCAAAATTTATTTATTCATTCACTCACTCACTAACTCACTCACACTTATAATTGCCAAAAGGACTTCCTAGGTGGCTTACAACTTTCTGCTTCAATTAGATGCTCAAACTGTATTGCAATACCTTCATTCACAATGCCATTTACAGTGCAATTCTGGGCATGTCTACTCTTAAGCTCCACTGAATTCACTAGGTTTTCTCTCAGACAAGTGTGTACTGGACTGCAGCCTCTGTAACAGTACTCTGTTTATTATATTGTTGTTTTATGTTATTACAGTGGTGCTTCATACTGCGAACTTAATTTGTTTCAGGAGGCCATTTGAACTCTGAATCATTCAAATTCTGAATCAATTTTCCCCATTAGAAATAATGGAAAGTGAATTAATCTGTTCCCAGATCCTAAACAATATCCATTTTGGTAAACTTAAACTGCAAATACAGCCTTCTGAAACAAACTGAATTCGAGATTATAAATGAGGTGTGATCAAAAAATACCCTCTCTTCAAACATACTTACCCCATGGTTCTTGCCACTTTCTAAAGCACTTCTGGAAGTCAAGATGGATTGATTCAAGTCAGGATATCAAGGCAGCCACAATAGTGCAACTAAAGACATTCATGAAAGAGGACTTCCAGAACTGCTTCAGAAAGTGGAAGAATGATGAGGAAGTATTTTGAGGGGGATTAATGGCAATGTGTCTTTTACTGTAATTTTTTTTTTAACTTGGGCACACAAACAATGATTTTTTTGCTGAAACTGCATTTTTTTCACTTCACTCAAAGTTTGAACTTAGAAGCATGGTTCGAACCAGGGACCAATTTTATCTTGACACTTATGTTTGAACTCTGGATTGTTTCAAGTTAGAGTCATTTGAACTATGAGGAACCACTGTATTTATTTACATGGTTTCATTGTATTATATTAGTGTAATAATTAGTATACTACAGAATTAAACTAATATATTTTATTATATTAAATAGCATATAACTATTATAAAATGCCTAAATTATATACTTGCATTACTTAAACTTTATGACCATTAACAGCCCTATCAAAGAAAGGTCCCTTGACTTCCAGCTCATATCAAAATGTATAACAAATCTGAATGTGCCAGCACACATAGGAAATATCTTAGACTGTGTCTGAAACTCTCAAGACAGCAAAAGTATCCTGCTTGGTGCAACCAAAGACTCTTACCCCCACTTTCCTTAGGAGATCACCAACAATGTTGAGGGCAGATATTCTAGCAGATGGAGTAAGGGGGCTAGTACCAAAGCCATTGGGAATAGCTGCAAACAACACATAAAGGCAACAGGTCAGTCATAAAGATTGACATATGCACAAAATGCAAGCTTTCAAGATGGAAAAAGGATATGAAGTGCATCCTCATTTCAAGGAAGGCATAGTTTGCATCAAGCCTGGGCATAATAAGGCACATCCACGCTTGCCATCCAATCCAACTTCTTTCAGCAAAATTGATCTAATCACTTTCGAACTCAGTGTAGAAAACTTTGTGCTCTTGATACATGTTGGACAACTCCCATAATTCCTGACTACTAGCCATGGAAGTTCCAAGGCTGCCTTCCCCTGTTTTAGATACAAATCACACCTTCCTTTGCACTTCCAAATATACATTAGCCCGTACAAGCCAATAGCACTATACCTCCACTTACTACTACTACTACTACTACTACTACTACTACTGTTGTTGTTGTTGTTGTTGTTGTTGTTGTTGTTGTTGTTATTATTATTATTATTATTATTATTATTATTATTATTATAACACTTCTATGCCGCCCCTTGCCAAAGTCTCGGGGCGGCTTACAACACAATAAAATACATTGAGATACAATAGAGCATAATAAATTACCAGAAAATACAAAAATACCAAAAAATACATTGAGTCACAAACATCATAATATAAAATTAAAATTATCAGTATAAAATAAGTAAATAAATAATATAGGAGGGGAAAAGGAAGAAGAAGTTGCCCTGGCCAGTTCATATATTTTAACAATTAAAATCATGTTTAAATAAAAAGGTCTTTACCTGGCACCGAAAAACCAGTAACGACGGTGCCAGGCAGACCTCTTTGGGGAATCAGAGGGGGAGCATAAGTCACACCATAAGTCTTATATAACAAACAAGGGTGTGTTTGTTTCCCTATATGACTTAAACATTGTTCTTTAATTTAAACTCTGGCTGAAATTGGCCTGTAGACTGGTAGTTAAGTTGTAACTATGCAAGGTGTAAATGATTAATCTCAGCTCTACATCCATATGCAACAGAATCACTCAAACATTCACACCATATGCGTGCTCTACCTTTTGGAGAAGGAAAGCTGTTCTCACAGCCTTTGCCAACAGGTGTTGCTGGCAGGGAGAGAGAAGCCTGGACTGCTGAATCCATCTTCTCACAATCTAGAGTTGGGGAACTAGGAGCTGACTTTCGGGTTACTTCCTGTTGCCTCTCTCGTACTGCAAGTTCTTGCCTTAAATCTGTAGATTTGAAAAAAATTGTACAGATGCATGTTTTAGCAGTGAAAACACAAATCACCACCCCTACCCCATGCACCTTTCTGTTCTACTCATTTCCTAGACAATCCAGCATCTCAGATCACTTCAAAGGCCAAATGACAAAAACTGAACATTGGCTACAGCTCTGCATGCATTCTCCTCAAAGCTCCTCAAAGACTGACATTCCTGAAGCCAATAATAATAAAACCTCACTGTGTAAAGTATGTTGAAGCAGTGTTAATCAGTAGCTCTTAAGCACAGGAAAATGCCCATCAGATAAAATTATCTGTTCTCCTATCTGTTTTGTAGAGGAATGGGAATGAATCTGGGTACCAAGCTTTGATGCAAAGGGGGCCAATATGAATGAGGACCTGGGCAATCAAACATCTGCTTAATTTAATGAATTCATGTCTTAAGTGCTATCTTACACTTACTTTGGAGAAAAGGCACTCTTTTGATGTAATGCTGAAAAGCCCAAGTTGAAATACACAGGAGCACAAAATGGCAAAATCTTTTTAGTGTCTTGCCAGCTACCCATTCTCTAGGGAAATATGTTTAACTGAGAACAGATACATAGTAGAACCCTTGCACATAAGCCAGGCTGGGGATTTGAAGATGTATAGAAATATTTCCATTTGAACCAAGCTTTCCTTCTCTACATTTTTGTATCCAGTCTTTGGTGACACAGGCTAGATCTTCTTCCCTACCAGTATACAAGTATTTCAAACAGGTTCTCAGAGTTAAATCACAGGACAAACTACATTAAAATGAATACTAAACCCCTTCAGTGCTATCTCAGTATCCTACTAATCTCCAAACTGCCACGACCCATTCTGAGAAACATTCCATAAACTAAGAGATAACAGAAATGCAGCTGTGTTTCCATGCTACTCCTATATCAAATCCTGTCTGTGCTCATTCAGAACATGCATGCAATAGGGAAGACATGTCACGCGCGCCCACTCTCAATCTCAGAATATTTATTATATTTGGTTTAATGACCACCAGATAATCAAGTAAAGGCCTTATTCTGCAGCACATAATCCATCAAAAAAGCATCCCAGACAGAACCTTGCTGAAGCATGTCTGCAAAATGATTCAAGAAATTCTGATTTTACTTTTTCCATGGAATACTTATAAAAATATCAATACTAAATATGTATGTTATGGTTCAGAGTTGTGTCCCAGGTTTCATTTTGCCTTTTCCCTTTAGATGCATCTGTGATCTTTTGAGAGATAGATACCATCTTAAGAAACTAAGCAGCAGCTTTAGATTAAGCAGTACCTCTCGCTTCGTCCTTCAGTCTTTGTACAGAAACTAGCAGAGATTCCTTGTCATCCAGCTCACTTTCCAAAAAGGCATTTCTCTCTATGGCTTGATTTAGCCTTTGTTCAAAGTCTTCCAAGGAAACAATTGTGGCCCTAAAGACAAAAATTCAGAGGATACAGTTTTTCAGTATATATATATTGCACCAAGTACAATAAATGACAGACACAAACACAACACATTAACACAGACAGACACATTTGGGAAGATAACCCAAAAGTTACCTGTGCAGGCTGACCAAAACAATGTATATGGGAGGCAGACCTCCACACCAGTAATAGTTGCACAGTGAATTCCTATATGCCCTAATCCAGCAATGCAACCAGATTAAGGATAAGGCAAGCTAAAGAATGACTGCCTGAATGAATATATATATAGAATGCGGAATAACTGAGTCTTGTTTGCAAGGAGAGAAAAATGCTGAGTCAAGTATGACTTCTGGGGTTTTTACTCAAACAGAGCATACCATGGGAATGGGTTTACAGCTGCAGAAACAGTTTGAGGCATAACTGGTCTCAATATAAACAGAACTAGTGAGGACTCTGAAAGATCGGATGAGTACCTTGAAAGAAAAAATGGCTACCCTTGTAACAAAACTAGATGAACCCTCAGAGACTGCCTCTAAAGCTATGGACCTGGGCATTGCTCATGATAAAGCTATTACCGAACATAGAAAAAAAGAACACAGAAATTAAAAACAATATGGAGCAAACAGAACAGTATGTGCAGGTCTAACTTGCATAAATGAGGGGTAAAAGAAGGTATACATATGTATTCCTTTTTAATTGAATGGTTCAGATTCCTAACTTGGAGATTGAAGTGGATGACACTGAATGTGCACATTGGGCTCTTGGTAACCATCCTAGCAACCAATAATGTCCCTTGGCTGGGTTGGTGAAGAAGTATTGGTAATCAACCCAGCCTAGGGACATTATTCTTTGTTTTGTGTGGTTTAAGAAACAGGAAGTTACTCAAGGGTTTCACCTTTTGGAAACATTAAGTATGAGAATCAGCTGGTTACGGTACTGCAAGACCTTTTCCCCAAGACAAAAGAAGAAAATTGCACCCACATACTAGTAAATTGCAGAAAGCAAGAACTTGATGTCGATGGGCATTTCTATTTCAACTGATGGTTATTTGGGAGAATACAACCTTCTCAACTACATAGAACAGGAATACAGCAGATATACTAAGAGCACTGGAGACAGAAGATCTACCAGTGAGTGAATATGAAGCTGGTGATAGTGGAGAAAAAGCTATAATCTCAGAACCAATATGGAAAACAGTAGGGGAGTTGCAGACGGGGAGAAAGAGAAGTGCAGGGAGAAGAATCATCACCTGCTCCACAGATAAGATAGGAATTTATGTACTCCAGCCTCTAGAAATTATTGACTGAATAGCCTCTCTAGACTGTATGGGTTTTGTGAGAGTTCATTCTACAATGTTGGAGGCAGATACATGTGATTTCAAAGGATGAAGAGACAGGAGATTGTAGATTTAAATATTTTTACTGAAATGAGATTCTACTCTCATTATCAGAAATTAAGCAACATGTGGTTTTTTTTTAAAATTACATGGTTCCTAGGATATTCACAGCATTCTTTCCATTATAGCAATGGTGTAGAGGAACAGGCAGTTGCTAATTAGTTTTAGGAAATTAATTGATAATGATAGAGGCTGTGTTAAAGGGATGGTGTCTTTTGGACTTATATGAGCACAAAAGCAAAAGCCTCAAGCAATTAAAGTTGAACTTAGTTACTTCTATGCATGATGCAGCTTTGGACGAGTATTTAGGGGAGACCACCATATAAATCTATATCTGCTAATACCAGAGAAGCATCTCTAAAGATAATACATGGCTAGTATCTTACTCCTAGAAATTTGGTATTTATTAAGTCTGGTTCCCTTCCTACATGCTGGGAGGGAAGCCAAGTGGTTGGCACCTACCAGTACATGTGGTGGGAATGCGATGAGGCACCAATATTCTGGACTGCAATTTTCATTGAGATTTCTCTGACTGTAAAAGTAGAAGTACCTACAGATTCAGAATTGGCCCAACTGAATGTATTCATTGAAAAGAACACTAACATGAAATATGAAGAGCTAATTTCACATCTTTTACTTGCTCCTAGAAAGGTAATACTGACACAGGGTAAGAATTTTAAATTTATGAATTTGAATGAATGGTATAAAATTGGTACAGAAGACAGAAATAATGGAAAAATGGTCATATTACAGGTTGTGAGAGGTCAGTATGAGTCTTTCAAGACTGTTTGGTTACCATTTATTGACTATACTAATGTAATCAAATATGAGAGAACAGTACCAAGCAAGTTAAAAATCATTATGGTTGTTGTAACAGTTTCTGTAAAGCCAACATGCATCCTGAGTGACTTTATACTATTCTATGTAACTTGATCTAGAGGTAGGAGGGGAAACAATTATAGATAATGTGAAATGTGTATTTCCAAATGTTTTTGTTTCTTTAACTTCCAGTAAATGAAACCTGCAAAACAGAGATTTTATAAATCCTTCCAAGTGAATAGCTCACCAGACCCACTTCTCAAGATAACATACCAAACAGATACAGATACTTATGGCTAGAACTTTCATTCTTACCTGTGGGAATGCCTTGTAACCTCTGAGAGTAAGATTTCACTTAAAATAAAAACACTTCAGACCTAAATTAGGTAGCAAACTTTGTACCACAAAACTGTTCCTGCAAACTCCCAAAGAAGAATAACTGTGGACCACTCTTCCTGGAGCATATTCTGAATCTCAGTCATCATAACAGGGAGAAATAGTCAACATCAGCCACAGATTTTACTACATACAGGAATTAAGTGCCAGGATTTGTTTAACAGGGACTGTGTGAGACTTTGACTTAATAAGGCAAAGGAAAATGTATGATTCTTCCTTGTCTTTTGTTAACACATGACTTCTGGAATATATTTCCTGCTAATCCAAAAGCTTATCAAGTGAAAGGGGTTTTAGAATTATAGCTGTTTTTGTTATGCAACTGCAAATAATATTTTCTCTTTATAGCACACAAGGTTCTTTAAATGGTGTTGGGACAAAAACCTGAGTGACAAGAGAGTAGCAAAGGAAGTGCCTGTCTCAAGTAAAGAACCGATTATCATCAAAACGATGACTTACCTCTTAGCACGCTCAAGGTCATCATTGGATTGCTCAAGCTCTCTTACATATTTATGCAACTGATCTTTAATTGCCCTGGTCTGGCTCAAGTCATCTTCCAACAATGATACCTGCTTGTAGTTCTGTGCATATTGATGCTCAAGCTTCTCCTGAAAGCACAAGAAAGAATTCCACCCACTTGAAACCATACCAAGAGGCCTGAAGGCTTCAAACAAACACTAATATCTGCCAATACATTTAGTGACTATTTAGACTAGGGTTGGGCAATACATGACCCTCCCTTTCCTTTTTTGTGGCTCCTGGTTTTAACAAATTAGCCACTGAAATTCAGTAGCACACCACTACAGAAAGGCTGCTTTTTCCTTGTATGAAGGAAAACAACCTGTGATTTGCTACCCAAACTGGGCAGCCACGCTATAAAAAAGGGATCGGTTTTAAAGAAAACTAATCCCATGTTTGCTGCTATATTGCTACAAGGCTTATGCAGAAGCCAGTGGGGATACAGAGGCAGGGTGTGGCCCCATTGTGAATTTGGGAGAGGGAGAGATAAATTTCTAGAAGCTGTCTACCCCAATCTAAGCCCCAGCATGAAGGATGACAAAACAGCACCCAATATGATTCAGACTCTGTCTCTGCTACTTTTTCTCCCTTAAGCATACTACCTATTTGAATAGCAAATTCACATATAAGATGGGCAGCTGCAAGACTAGCTCTTTTAAGGCACCTCAGAATCCAAACTGTCAGTGTGCTAGACAGTTAACAGTTACCAGCAAAAGCAATCCTCTGACATACACAAAGAAACCTGGAAAATATCATGAGTAGTGATGTGCATCTTCCAAAAAAAAAAAAAAGGAATTGGAAAGTTTTCTGAATAATTTTCTAGTGCTCAAAATAATCTTATCTGAATTAGCATGTTTGACTCATTTTTTTACTTTACCATACATGCTCTCATATGTAGCAAACAGAAATAGAAATAAAAACCATGTCAATATGTGCAGTATAAGGATATCAAATAAGTTTTCCCAATAGCTGCAAAATATTGGAACTGAAATATTTGCTGAGGGAGAAATTAAAATAACACCACAATATAGTTTAAGCGTTATACTCAAACACATTCAAAGCTTTATGTGGACACTACTTTATTGAAATATTTGTAAAAATATACAAACAGCATACATATCCTTATGCAGTTCATATTTAGAAAAAGATGACTACATCTAAAAGAACACACTGCTTTTAGGATACATACTCAGAAAGTTCTCATGTAGTATTAACAGCTTTATTTTACCGAGGTAACTGTAGTACCTTCAGTTTCATTCCCTCTCTGCACTATGTATTGGTTTTATTTCAAGCAGAGCATCTGATTCAGAACTACTAAATGAATATTCTGCTTCACTAAATGAGGGATGTAGCTATAGGAACCCAGGCTGGGGAACTGAGGCAGCAGGGTGCTGCAGCACTCAAGTCCTGCTTGTGGGATTCCATAGGCAGCTGGCTGGCCACTGCGTGCACAGAATGCAGGGTCAGGGAGACCCTTGGTCTGAGTCAGCATGACTCTTGTGTCCTTTAGTGAAACAAACAGTAGTCACAGTCTTTGTTTCAGCTTCAGATTTCCCTTGAGTTTGTTATCAAAGAATGTGAGCAATAAAAGGCAAATACACTACATATAAATCTTGTCTAGCCCCAGCCAGAAGTCATCTGCAATGTGCCCAGAAAAGGGTTATCATACCTTATTTTTGAGTTTCCCCACAGGCAACTGAGCATTAGTTTTGTCAATCATATCCTATATTTAGCCCATCTAACATGATCGATTGCACTACAACACAAACATATATGGTGCAGAAAATTCTCCACAGAAAAATATAGCCTGAGAAAATGTTCTGCTCCACCCCACTCAAATGAGCAGTATGGATACTTTTCAAGAGAGGTGTTTGCCAATACATTCCCTTACCCAAGGACCGACAATGGAGTTTAATTATCTATGATATGATATATGATATGATATCTGGGCCACTAAGATCTCAGCTCCTTTGGTGATAATCTACTTGGTGACTCCTGATAATCTGATAGACTAAGGCTTTAAAACAACTGAAAGGAGGAAAATATACAATCAAATAGCCTTGCAACATAAGTGTAGCCTTTTCCAATCTGATGCCGTCCACAAGTTTTCAGCTGCAACAGCATTCCTGATCATAGTCATACTGGTTGTGGATGATGAGAGGTTCTCCAAAACTTCTGGAGAGCATCAGGTTGGGGAAGGCTGCTTTAGAG